TGGTAGCCTTTGAAAGTATTGCCTTAGATATTGCTGGTCCATTCCCCATGATCGAGAATGGTAATAAATACATGATGGTGGTACGCCATTCCAAATCAAGAGGCCGCAACTGTTGCAGACGTGTTAATAAAGATTTATCAGTAGATTTGGAATGCACTTCACAATGACCAAGGCAGAAATTTTGAAAGCCAGCTTTTCTGGGGAATTTGTGACAGACTTGGCATGAAGTAAACCAGAAAAACGGCATTGAACCCACAATCACATGGAATGGTAGGGCCAATGAATAAGACAATTGGCAAATACCTGTCAAAAGTGGTTTCCAATCATCAGCGAGATTGGAATCAATATCTTTCGTTCTTCGCAATGGCATATAGATTCACTGTTAATAAGTCTACAGGTTAAACACCATGATATTACCGTGTGACCTCGAGTTTGAATGATGACCTGGAGAAGATATAGCCGGTGAAAATTATGTAATCCAGCTACGAATAAAAAAGGACGACATACATGAGTTAGTGCGCTGGCATCTTCAAATCGCCAGCGACAGATTGAAGAAGCGATACAATACCGAAGCGATAGAAGGATATTTCAAGGAAGGCGTCAAAGTTGGGCTCTGCAACTCAAAAAGACAAAAGGGTTAATCTACGAAGCTCCAAAGGTCTTAGAAGTATAAGTAAGATCCCGAACGGTAAACCGAAGGTAGTGCACCAAAACCGGCTGGCGCCGTTTGAGGGTAACCATGATGAGGAAGAAGTAAACCACCTCCAAGACACACCTGACCTTGTCTTTAAAGAATATATGAGTGCATATGGAGGTACCGTAAAAGCAAGACATGGTGTTACAACCGAGCAATAACAAGACCTGCTCATGGTTTCTAAAGAATACCCTCCGGTTCATAGCATTTCCGCCAGCATCAACAGCGCTCGAAGTCTGTGTTCCGGAAGAAGTTTGGTAGGTTGCTAGAATTTCAAGGTCAGTTACCAGTCCATGGAAAAGCCTTGAAGGATACCTTCCGAGATCGACCCAATTTTCATAATGTATGAGAAGCATTATTTAGTCTGAGGAAGCAAACAGAAATTAACCATGCCAAAGATAGAGAGCAAGCAGCTGAATTGGATCATTAGAAACATGGTGGAAGTAATCTTCCAACAAACCGAGGTCCAAATATTGGTCTGCAGTCTTCGCTTAGTGTCCAGGTTTCAGCAAAAATCGTCCTTTGTTATTTCCATTTGAATGAAAATTATAAAAGTGGTTCCAGTTGCAGATATAATCATTCAGTTTCAGTTCCAGGAGGATATATCTCTTAAGGAGGGCGCAATGTCGTGCGATTGCCTGAACCGATCAGTTCTCTATTATCTTTACCAAAGCGTAGAGAAATCATCTTCTATAACTTTTCTTTTATAGGTTGAGGTATTTTTATACTTTTTATTTACAACAAAATCAAATTAAAATCAAATTAAACGCAAATAATTATACCCTATAGAACAAATTAATCTACGCCAGCTGTAAGTAGCTATATAAAGTAGTTGAAACTTTAACTTCTCGTAGTTTAAGTACTTTTGATTAGGAATGTTTAACTACACAGTAATTAGGTTTGTTCCCGAAGCGAGTTCCAAACTTGTTACAAACATTATATGATACGCATGCGTGAGCAAAATAATGTTCGGAATGAATTCTAAATAAATTGTGCTGAACGTTAAAAAAATAATGTTGCTGAGTGTTTTAACTAAATACAGGTCATTTGATTATATTTATTAAAAAAAATAAGATTTTGAGGTTATGCTGTATGATTCAAAATTTCACAAATAAAAACTATCCTTATTATATTTTTTGCTGTTACATCGCTGTATAAGATTTTAATCAAAATTAAAGATAATAGGCAGTCACAAAACTCACCAAAAATCCAATTAAAAACAAAGGAGAAAAAGAAGAAAAATGATTATAAATAAGCACGCATGCGCGAAAGTAAAAGTTCGTATTTTATTTAGGAACTAAAAACTAATAACAAACATGTTATGAACAAATTTTTAATCTTGCTAAAACACCAAACAAGTTCAATTTGTTTGGAAATTTGCTCTGCTGGAACATTTATTTTGTACTGCGCATACTCATGCTGTGTTTGAGAATCCACATCGGATGCATCTGAGATGTAAAAATCTTTGATCACGTGATGCAGTATACGTAAATGTAATGGGACAGATGTGTCCGATGTGGATAAAAAACGCTCGAGATGTAAAAAATGCATCCGATGTGGATTCTCAAACGCAGCATCAATATGTTAGGAACTCGCTTCGGGAACAAACCTAAAACTAGTTATTTTTTTTAAAATAGTTTGCCCAGTCCCGCTTGCATATACGTATATACTGCAGACGCACAAGGTATAGCTAAACGATTCGGAAATGTTCGGCTAGGATCGAAGTAGAAGCTGCACGCGCGTAAACTGGAGACATAGATGGATCTTAATACGTCTGCAATTTGCATTATTGCGTCAGCATCGGTGTAACTTATAAACAATGGCAAATTTTATAGTTCCAGAGGGTTTTGAATATTCACATTCAAAAATGAAAGTGAACGGGCCCATTATATAAATCAAAGTAGTTTTAGAACAAAACTACAATCTAAAGAAGACGTAGAAGTTAGTATATAATGATATTCAGCATTGAATTGTGATTTTTTTGTGTATTAAAAAAATTAAATACCTATTAGGTATGTGCAGAGTGATTATGGCATAATATTATAATGTTACCGCCCTTTATCTTGGTCAATTTTTGGACTGCAATAAAAAAGAAAAAACCGAAATGTAGGGTTTTTAGCGTAGTTTTTGCGCACGTAAAAAAACAAGAAAAAAGAATTATTATTCAGGGTGTTTCATTAGGAATATTTTAATAATAGGTTTAGGACCTTTAAAATATAAATGTTATCTACTATTAAGATACAGGATGGTAAAGTTACAATGTATTTTTGTTCTTTGTAACAGTTTCTTTATTAACATGCAGGGTGTCCCACGACGAGTTAAAACTATCTGTATATAGAAAAATACTTATAGTATAATAATGAAAACTTTTAGATTTAGGTTTTTGATTACGCTCTTTTTAACTAAGATATTTTTAAAAATGGCCGACTTTTGGTTCTACCTGAAGTCGACTGTAAATTTGTTATTTTCAATAGAACCCCCTCTATATTAATATATTTTTAAAATCTACGTAAAATTTTAGGGTACTTTTGTCTAAAAACTTTTTTCGAAAAATGCATAGTACTTTTTGTGTTATTAATTTTTTGTAAAAAATTTGACCGATGCAGTCCCTTATAAATTATTTCTTTATGAGGATACCCCTAAAGATATAAAAACAGTTTCTGTTGGGTGGCTAATAGCAAGGTTAGAGGTATTTAAACCTATGTTGAAAAAACTCTTTATTTTATACAGGGTGTGTATAAAAATTGTGCAAAGTTCAAAATTCAAAAATATCAAAATTCTTCATTTTTTTAAATAGAACCACTCGGTTTTTTCTATTTTAATGAATTCAGGGGTAAAAATAAGGCAAGTTCATGTTTACTTCCCAATACTTATGAAGATATTAAAATTTTTACATAAATTATATTTCTGTCTTATTCATTAACTCGGTTTTACAAGTTGACTATGTATAATAAATAAATTTACTTAATCTTTAATGTTTAATTTTAAGCCAAAGAAACAAGAGTCAAAATTCTCAATTGACAATTAATGTTAAATTTTGATGTACTATGGCAGAAATGTAACATTTTTTAATAGTATCTTCAAAACCATTAGGTTTAGGTATAGGGAAGTAAACATGAACTTGCCTTATTTTTTACTCCTGAATTCATTAAAATGGAAAAACCGGGTGGTTCTATTAAAAAAAAATAAAGAAATTTGATATTTTTGTTTTAAAGTTTAACTTTGCACACTATTTGTTGCGTTTAAGAAATAAAATAAAAGCTGGTCTTTAGTAGTAGATAAGTATTCTATTATTCAGATAAAATAAATATGTAATACGAAAGGTACTTATTTTATTTTTTAAACGAGGTGTTTCTGGATATTTTTATTTTTTTTGGGCATTTTTATGAAATCGCTTTGGGAAAAATTGCAAATTTATCTACTTCTGATACATTGAAAATTGATGAAGTTACAACAAAGAACTCAAATCAGAACATTTCTTCCTGTAATGATTATTCCTCTGTACAAAACCAACAGAATAAGCAAATGCTGATTCATGATGACGCAAATCATGATGCCATGGAATTTGATGAAAAGGAGAACATTGACATAGAAACAATTAAAAATAAATGAACAGCTCATTCGAATTTAATTATATCAAAGCTTGAAAGTGAGCCTCAATCTTTCGGACCCGCTATAATGAAATACTTGGACAACTGTAGCAAGTATGCCAAAGCAAATCAGTCTTTGATATCAGGCTTGCATTGCGCTTTTAAATACACTGAAGTTTCGTCCAAAAATAAGAAAGGAAAAAAAAATATCCGTACAACCGACTTCAATATCAAGACGTAAAGTTACAATGACAGATAGAAAAGCATCGTTAGCTGGACGAAAACCTGGAAAATCTAACAAAAAACAACAAAAAAAGGCACCACACAGCTTGCAACTATGTGTAAAGAGTAACATTGGTCTAGGTGATAATAAGTTTAGGAAATAGGGATTTTCACGAACATTAATATGTATTTGATTTATTTGTATGAGTATTATTATTATTAGTTATTAAAGGAGTTAAGAATGTACACAGCGTTAAATTTACATTTTACAAACAGTATTAGCATAAACACGTCTGCCCTTAATATGTTGACCCACCGAAGTAAACTGCAGACGTATAAAGACAAACTACGTCTACACTTTACTACCCTTTCTTATTGGTAGGATAAATCTTAAAAAGCCGAATCGTTTGGCTATACCTTGTGCGTCTGCAGTATACGTATATGCGTCCCGCTTGCTTGCTGCCTTATTACAATAATTGTTTTTTTTTTTTCAGCACTTAGTTTGGCAAATGGTAGCGTCCATGAATTTAAAAAATATCGAAGAATTACCGGTAGTATTCGAGAACGTTAAATTTAAACGCGCAACAGTCCTTTCGTTCACTGACAGCGTCACATTCCTCATAAACGTAATGAAGCAATCGGGAAATTTTGAAATATTCGAAAGCGGATCTGTCGTATGCTCAGGAATCATCCGTTTGGCAACAGACGTATCTTCAGAATTCACTCTAAAAGACGTCGTAGAATCCACCAAAAATGGATATCCCATAATGAAACGAGATGATGTCTACAAAGAATGTAATTTGAGAAGGTAATTTTTTTTAAGTAAACATTTTTTTTTGGCACCCTTTGTATATTTTTTTCCTGGGTTGTGTTACTTTCGGCTATAAATTTTAAAGATTTTTAACATTTTTTGACATTTATTTTGAATAACTCAAAAACTAGAAAAACAACTTTGTTCTGGACAGCAGTTTACAAAATAAAAGCGTGATATAAAAATACATTAACATTTAATAATTTTGCATTAAAAAAATACTAAGATTGAAAAATAAATGATGGTAATAATACAAGTTAGTAATATTAAATACCTCACAAACTGTGGTTCAATTTACTGCACTTGTATTTATTTAACGTGTATATTTGACAATACCTATTTGTGTATTAAGAGCAGACAGTAGCACTTTGGCAATTGAGACAGAAAGTTGCCCCGCGACGCGTCAGCGGAGCGCGACAATCTGTTTGGATGGCAACCCTGTGGGCCTGTTGTCACTGACAGGGTCAATGATACATACAGTGTGTCCGTAAAGTATGGAACAAATTAATTTTTAGCTAAACAGACCATTTTAAGAAATAATCCTGAAACACTTTTTGTCTCAATTTTCGGATTACTCTAGCTGAGCTGATTCCAAAAATGTATCACATGTTGATTCCAATTGGTACAGGGTGGACTTGTGGTCTAGCATACAGAATATGAAAGAAATTATTTCTTATCAATTTTGAAAAAACATAGTCGTCTAGTTTTTTGTGAAATGTCATTATTTGTTTAGTAATTTATTGATGTTCAGTGACAGTTTAGTACTACAATATTTTTGGTATTCGTGAATGTTTTAATTATTGCTTAGATTTAATTTGAATTAGAAATGGAGTTAAGTGTAAAACAAAAAATTTAAATACTTATGATGATTGGGTATGGAGACAGATCGCGAACTCAGATGGAAGTGTGCAATTTGTTTAATGATAAATATCCAGAAAGACCTATAACGCGTTCAACAGTCAGTAATATTGAAAAGAAATTTCGAGAAATCAGGTCGTCCCTCTGCAAATGCTGATACAGCATTAGATGTTTTACTTAGTTTTGAAGAAGACGCGCACACTTCTGTGCGTAAAGTTAGTCGCGATATCGGTGTTAGCAAAACAACGGTACACAAACTATTAAAGCTTGAAAAATGGCATCCTTTTAAAATCAAACTTGTGCAGGAATTAAACGAAGATGATCTCGATAAAGGAATCCAATTTTGTGAAAAAATGATGGATAAATGTCACCGAGACCCTCTCTTGATACAAAACATTATTTTTTCTGATGAGGCCACTTTCACGTTAAATGGCGAAGTTAACCGTCAGAATTGTAGATACTGGGTAACAGAAAACCCCCACTGGATGCGTGAGCATCATACACAATACCCGCAAAAGGTAAATTTATGGGCTGGAATTGTAAGAAATCGAATCATCGGACCCTACTTTATCGAAGGTAATTTAAACGGGACAACGTACCTTGAGTTTTTAAGGGGGTATCTCGTACCTACTTTACGTAATTTGTTTCCCAGCAGACGTAATCCTGGAGGTTGTGATTTTATGGTTTCAACAGAATGGTGCACCTCCACATTATGCTGTAGATGTTAGAAGGTACCTAGATGAAATTTTCCGAGCAGGTGGATTGGTAGACGTGAACCTATCGAATGGCCAGCGAGGTCACCAGATTTCAATCCTTTGGAATATTTTATGTGGGGCCATCTGAAGAATGTTGTGTATCAAACGAAACCAGCAAATATTCAAGAATTAAAAGAGAGAATTCGAAAAACAATAAACAATATTTCTCAAGACACAATAAACAAGAATTTGTACACCGTTTGGGTTACTGTCAAATACAGCAAGGGCTGCAGTTCGAACATTTTTAAAGTCATGTATTTCATCATATTCTGTCCGCTAGACAATAAGCATTTTTGATAATATTGTTAATTTAACTAATAAAGAATGTTACACGTTACTTTATGAGCACACACAAAACTATTGTATTTTTGCCCACTCTGTACCAACCGGAATCAACATGTGATACATTTTTGGAATCAGCTCAGCTAGAGTAATCCGAAAATTGAGACAAAATGGGGGTGTTCCATTTAAAAAAAATGACGGTGACGTCATTACTCGAAAGTAATTCACCCTGCATATTAGATTATTATTTTAAAATACGGTAAATTAAAATCAAAAATCGACGTGTTTCAGGATTATTTCTTAAAATGGTCTGTTTAGCTAAAAATGAATTTGTTCCATACTTTACGGACACACTGTATATAGTTATATAGATTAGTCAAAGCGGGTCATTTGCGAGAGGTCATATTACCTGGCAAGTGAGGGGCCTAGTATCAAAACCGGCAATATCCCACTTTCATAGTTTAGAGATATTTACGAATAACTACTGCTGCCTTATTATTTATGCTAGATAGTTGGAGATTATTGAAAACGGTAGTTTACTCGATTCTGAACAATAACTAATAGTTCTGTTACTTAGAACTGACAAGGTTTTTCCAAAATATAATACAAAAATATGGAGATTGCCGGTTTTGTTCCTAGAGGTAGGACATTGCCGGTTTTGATACCGAAATGTATAAATAGACCCGAGAAAAAAGGCAATGAAAGACGAAGTGAGTGCTAAACTAAAACTGTATTTTTCTTTAGGTAACAACATAGTAGAAAATAATATCAAAAATTAAACCAATACAGATGAAATCTCTGCAATGAATTCGCAAGAGGGTTCATCATCAACAAGTTGATTAGCTTCTCTGTCTTGGGTTTCCTCCGACTCTTCAGGATTTTCTGTGTGGCTCTCCAACATTTCCTCGCTGGGAACGATATCATTATAAAACATCAGTTCATCTAGATCTCTCCACTTTTTGCCAAAGTGTTTGGTCAGCAATTTGTTCACGTCATTTAACTTCAGACTGTTGACCTGAGGCAGGCCGGCGTTGATTAGATCTGGTTTAATCATGCCAATTGGTTTTCCTTTTTTTGTGAATCCCTTAAAGGTTTGCAAGTCGCTCCTATAATGGACTTCACCTCTTATTAAAATATTTCCAGACTGGCATCTCTTCAGATAAAATCGTTTCGTATTTTTAAATTGGAAGTGCCATGATCCTGGGGGTTTCAGTACCTCTTTAACGCTTTTTCCAGTCGTAAACAGTACAGTCTGTACCTAAACGAATGGGAGTCGCAATTTTTGAAAAGATTTCAATGTAGGTGTCAGGTTTGGTTATTACTTCCAGTTTTTTAATGTTCTTTTCGATGTGACCAAACACCCTGTCTGCTGGAAGAAAGGAATGCCCCACTACGGGAAAGATGACTTCCAAATTCTTAATATTTAACGGGGCATTATTTGCTAGCCATTTGGAGCACATCCCTATAAGAGTGATATTCTTGTTTTGGCCGCTACATCCATCTGCCATAAGCCTAACCGTGGTATGGTGAGGGCCAAACTCAATTTTTTTCAGTCTATCATATACAGCTGATGAAACCTCATTGGAACTTTTTACGAACTCATTTTCGGTCCAGTAGTACGAAAAAAACATTTTCTGGATTAAGCTTGGATTTTGATGTACCTTCTACAATCGTAAAGTTGTAGAGGTACAACTGCCTTGAATAATAGGCTGTTTGGTCTGGCACCTTTGGTAGAACTAAGTTCTTCTCGCAATCGAAAGATATGGTTACCATATCATCTCTAGCTTCTTTAAGTAGATTGAAAAAAGCATCTGCTCTCTGTGAATTTTTTTGTCTGTTGAAAGCTTTTTCTTTTCTTCTTCATCTTCGCAACGTTTGATTCTTTCAGCCAATTCAAGGCACGTGGAACACACGTCAGTTCGCGGTGTTGTGAAACTCAAATTATACTTTGTGTTGAAAATTGTTCGAAAATACGACAATTTTACTTTTTCTTCTGGACTGCACTGCTGATCATATATGGTGTGCATTTTTTGTATCGATAAATCTGAAGGAAGGTATAGTCTTTTTGTACTGGAGCGGCAATAGTGTGATTCAATGCACTTGAAACTATTGATGAACTGTTGAACCGCCGCTTGTTTGTCTTCGTATTTAGGAGTTTTTCGATCTCCACCTCTTTTTTCTATTGGTGCTTGACCACTGGAAGTAAAACTCTTCATGACGTGGCTCACACGATGTTTTGTAATATCAAGTATGTTTAAAAAAGCCGACTGGCATACGGGAAAGTTCGCTTTTGAGGAATAATTTCTCACAAAACATTTTACATGGGTAACTTTGGCTTCTCGTGTTGCATTTTTCGGACGGCGACGTTTGCACACATCAACAGAGCAATGCTTTAGAATGAACGAGTCTTGCAATAGCTTGTTTTTTGACGCATAAAATGCTTCATGAAAGTCTTTAATTTCCTTCATGGTTAACGAAGAACACTGAAAAGCCTTCGTTTTGTGACCACATGTTGGATATTGTGGCAACTGTTTTGCAGAATATCTGCAAAGAAGACTAGACAATACAACTCTATTATCAGTATGAAAAGAAAGAAAATACCTGAGCTTCTTGCGAACATTACATTTCCATGTGACTGGATCACGTTTTCTTTTACGGGCCTTACCCGGCTCAGCAGGAGATGCATTCACTTCCATTAGGTTCTCAGGCAAAACTCAACAATCAACACAAGATTTAACAGGATGAACAACCACAATGGACTAAACGAAAGCAACAAACATAATAGGTATTTGCTATTTAAATGCTATTTCATGTGATCAGCTGATCACATGTCGCGATTCTGATTGGGTGGCATGGAGTTTGCCGATTTTGATTCTGAAAGTCATATGGAGATTGCCGGTTTTGATTCTGATGAGTAGTTTCCAAACTAAATTTATATGGGATCAAACCGTTTTTGTTACCAACTAGAAACATATTCCAATAGTGCACAACGAGACGAAAAAACTGCTATATGCAACACATTTTACTGAAATTTGGAGATTGCCGGTTTTGATACTAGGCCCCTCAAGTGTTCATTAATTTGAAACGGTTTAGCAAAAATGTGTTTTAAAACCAATTTTTAGCCTTTCAATATACTAAAAACAATAATTACCTACATTTTTACTTCAAAGCATAACGGTCAATCTTTATAACTATCTATATCATTGACCAGTGGCGGCTCGTAGTAATTTAAAATGGGTGTTCACTTTTTCCAATAATTTTATCATTTTTAAGTTCGGTTCAAAAATTTGTACAAGAGTCAATATCGCTGTTTTTTTTATTATTTGAGTTTGTATTAAGTGTAGTTATTATTATGAACATCATACTGTTTTCAAGCACTAATGAATATTTTTGTCAGTGTAATATTTTTTTTTTGTTTTTAATACATTGAAAACCATCTATAAACATTATTAGTTAATAAACTGACTTTTCTTCAAAATTTGAGAATATTTTTAAATATATATCAGGTTATGTAGTAAGTTTGACATTGATTTTTGTGTAAAAAATATTATATGAAACTTTACCTACCATTTTTCAGTTTTTATTGTAAGATGTTAAATAAAAAATATATTTTTTAAATAACTTTTATTGGCAAATAAAATAAGAACTAAAATGTTTTAAATGTTTATTTTATAAGGTCAGTCCCATCACAATACATAATATTACACAGATACAAACTAGAATAAAGACATATAATGCCTGGTATTCTAAATGATACTCTTCGCAGTTTAACAGACCCCCTTAACCCCCATTTTCAACCAGATTGTTTTCACAATCAATAGGCCTCATCGCCTTATAGGGCTTAAAAATTTCATGTTGATATCGCTTTTCATTTTTGATTTTTTTTTTTTTAATATTTTAACCCCCCTTAACTCCCCAATATATTCATATTTTTCTCAGTATCAATAGGCTTTATCTTCTTATAAAGCTTCATTTTTACTAAAAATTTCATGTTGATATCGCTTTTTGTTTTTAATTTAGGATTTTTTTTTTAATTTCAACCCATCTTAACCCCCTATTTTTAATCAGATTTGATAAAAATCAATAGGCTTTGTTCCCTTATAGAGCTTGATTTTTGCTTAAAATTTTTAAGTTGATATCATTTCTCATTTTTGAACTATCGTGCAGACAAAAAACGTGACATGTGTCTTTATGAAATTTAACTGGGTGTTGACTGCACCAATGAACCAATGGGGAAACCGCCCCTGTCATAGACCCTCTCAAGTCACCAAGCCATAGTGTTGCCATATCATAAACTATCATGTGCCTGTCACTACCCACGGGCAACCATTTTGTTTGGAAGGCCTAATACACTAACTGTAGTGCGTTTAGAAACCTCGCACGGTGCGTCTGACCACATACATTAGAATAGGGTCCAGAAGCGCCGTGCGAGGTTTCTAGACGCACTCCTGCTGCTTTCTTTGACATTGACCTACTCGATTCCTAAGTTGTTTGTATGTTGTGTTGTCAACCTATTAATATGTATAAGTATACAGGTTACATAATATTTAATTTTAGTATGTCGATAATTATTTATGATTTAATCATTTAATTATTTACGGAAAATAATGTTGAATGATTTAAAATATTTATATTTTATTTATCTATAAATAAAATCAAGCGCGCGCTAAAGTTACTTTCCGCTTGAGAGCGCCAATCGCCAATAATGTCAAATTATGACAGCTTGCAGAAAATATCAACTTCGCACAAAAGCCTACTTTCAATAGTGATCGTATAAAAAATTTGTTGTGTATATTAAGACACGATAAACTAAATTAAAGATAATTGTGTTTTATATTAGAGAGTTATTGCAAGTTCACTTAAGGCCAGTCACTATTAGTGCCGTTCTTATTTTGACATCTGAGCATGCGCAAATCACTTACATTTTCGAACTGACTTTAATAAAGATTGTGCCTGTCCTTAATTGTGGATATTTAAGGCCAGCAGTTAGTGGGGACTTTATAGTTTTCGGGTGCACTCGCCAACATTCGTATCAGTCCGAAGTTTTTTAATATTAAATATTTTATATGATCGTCATCTTAACCTTCTAAAATGGTAACTTTTAATGCCTCTTCCATATTATGTACTATTATAAACAACAAAAACTGTAATTTTAAATTTTTAAAATGAGGTTAGAAATATGTATAAGCCCAGCTAGCACATAACGTTGTCAAGCCTTTCGGCGATGTTGCTTTAAGGGAACGTAATAACATTACTATACAACGTAAATGCAAAGTTCATGAGAAGTTGGTTGAGGGAAATCAAAACCTCGCAAAACTTCTATTTGTTACTTATCAATTTAACCTACCTGTTATGTTAACACAACGTAATAAAGTAATTTGTTTAAAAAACATATACAAGAAAAATACTGTGAACATCACAATCTTAATTCGGATCGTTTATTTTTTTTTCAATTGTCACTTGTCCCTTTTTCTTGTCATTTGTCATGTTTTTGGTGGTTGTTTTTTAACTTGAAGAATTTATTTTAATAAATAATTATTATTTATACATTTGAGTAGATTATACTTAATCCAACTAAAAATACATTTTAAAAATATTAGATTATTTGAAATTTTCATGTCTCGATTGAGATTTTACTAAAACCTCAATTTCACAAAGAACAATATAATGTCTCCATGGATGAACTTAATTATACTTGTAAAAATATTTATTTTAAATTAAAAAAAAAGTAATTTTTCATAATTTCTCAATGTGAATCGTATTTATTTAACAAGTAAAAGAAATTATGAAGAATTACTTTTTTTAATTTAAAATAAATATTTTCACAAGTATAGTTAAGTCCATCCGTGGACACACTATATAATGCTGTATAACTAATTCACATTATAACATCTATAAAACGTTTCAGAGCAACTTTCGGTGTAAGTACCGTAAAAGTGCTAGTGTGATGTTTTTCGAACTTCACTTTGTAACCTCTGCTAGCTGAGCTATAAAAGTCTTGCCGTTGCAGACATTCGGCGATTGCAGGGATATTAGGGTTACATTAAAAATATATTGCATGGGAGCTTAAAGAGTCTAAAATTGCAGCCTATTAACGTAGATGCGATGTTTTTGGGAGGACAAGGACTCTAATGTCAAAATTTCAGGTTTGCAATAAGTCTTATTTTAGCATGGAATTTATATTCCTCTAATTACGTTGTCACTATTAGAAATTTGCAATATCTCTCTATTATTAACCTCTCTCTTAACTTACTTATAGATGAACATTTTGTTGTCTACTGATAATTGTTATTTTCTGCCAATTAACCAGCACATTTTTTTAGGTACATGTACAAGGATTTGTTCGAAGGTATTGTAGAGTGCGATATACATGGTATGAATGGACAGGTCGAATGGAAAGACAATTTTGCCAGTTTTCTAGACACTATGTTGCACGTGACCGTCGTTGCAGACACCTGCAGAGATTTAATGCTACCAACGTCCATTCTGAAGCTCGTTATAGATCCAGTTGGACATATGAATTTGGTACAAAAACGATCAGGTAAAATATTATTTAATATTAATGATATTTAAAATAAATAAATATTTCAATAATTACTTTTGAAGCGTTTATGAAGTGGACTGTACATTTAGCTCCTGGCTAATATTTTTTTTTTATAATACAGATTGATAACTTTCACACGTACCTTTACTTGTGGCTCTGGCTTGGTTCAATTTCTCCTTGGATTTTATTGTAGGCCCACAATTAATTTGAGAAACGGTAGCAATACAAAAAAGCGGTTCGCGCAGGAAAAATGACATTTCAATCTCGGATAATAAAGTACTCAAAGCTGAGAATTGACTAATGTTCACACACACACCTGACACGTGTGTTTAACAAGCGAATAAATTTAAAAATAGAAATTAAAAATAAACCCGGAAATGTAACAACTTTACTTTTTGACATATATTTCATCTAATTTAATTGTAATTAAAAGTATTGTCAGTCGCCGAAAGACCCTTATTCTGGTAAGGTGCCTTCGTTTAGGATATCTGGATACCTATTCACTAACTGGATCCGTATTCTGTAACTATTGGAGTAGGCGTGTAAGAGTACTCTCTTACAATTTGGTCTTGCTGCGCATGTCACTCGACTAAAAGCATTATGTTAACGGTGAGAGCAGTGTTGCAAGATGTACGATAATTATCGTATTTGTACGATATACGATATGTTAACATTAAAAACTGCCCAATTTTTCGGAATTTTCAGTTAAGAAAAAATAACTAAAATGAGCAATTCTCCACTTTAACGTCCTTTATCTCGAAACATGGTCATATTTATCAGATTTAAAATGCACACCTCTTAAAAAGGTGCTGAAAGTACTATATACTGAAAAAATTATTACATTTGATCGGTTTTTATACTATTCTTAAAATTGAATATCTTTTAACAAATAAATCACCCTGTATATTTTGAAGCTTAGAGATTAACATAATTAAGTGGTATTACCTTTCCCAAAAATCAATTCATAAAGGTTATGAATTAATCCTTAAAAAAAATAAGTTTATTTTGTGGTTCTATCTATAGAAATGCAGCTCGTAAGTTTGAAAATAAAAATTCCGAAAAACTAAGCATCTTGTAACTTTAACACTATGTATATCGAAAACTAGTCATAAGATTGAGCTGAGCCTATTGACACTTTTAGTTAATAGTTTCAGAAAATTTGACCTAACGCCACTTTACATAAGGAAAATGCGGGGTGTTCTGGATAATGAATATGTAAGTTTCAAACCTAGAGATGAAATGATAAAATTCATGACATCTTTAAAAATGTATAGACAAAAACAATATGGGCTATTTTTTTAAGTCCATTTTAGACCCTCTGAAACACATTTCAAAATACTTTTTTGCCTTACAAACACTTTAAATTATTTTTTTCTTACCTTAAAACTTTAAAATGTGTCCTCTTATTTCGATGTTGAAAAAATTTTGATTAATTTCTTGTTATAGAAACTGCTAAATAATAATACTAGACCATCCATAAAGCAGCAAACCATTCCAATTTTTTTCATAAACAGTTTATTTTCCTAATTTACGACCAGGTTAAAGTTTATGAACCCAATGACAATTGACATATCAATTATTACATAGCAATGGTCATTTTTATCTGTGTCCTGTGTTGTACCAGGCCAACCAATTGACTTCAGTATCAGAAAAATTATATAAAATACCCATATCAAGATCTTCTCCCTCACCCTCATCGGCAGAGTACTCTTCGACGTCAATATTGATATACAATAAGAAGACGAAGCAAAGACTTCTTGTGGGGTGGCCATCAGAAAATTTTAACCCACACCTGGCTACGCCGATCGGCATAGACTCCAACGGCCTGGACACAGCTCAAATAAAATAAGAGTATTTTTTACAAATATTAGATAAGTACCGATATGCCGACGCACAATCATCATGAAATATAATAAAAAACGAATGTCTGTGATTACTACAAATGTTTTCACTTCGGGATCCAAATTCATCTGCTGGCCAGACACTATCTAATTTTTCAGCCAACTTTTATTAACCGAATTATTTCCTGACTTATGTTTTCTTACTCGATTTGGCAATACCGCACTTATAGAAACTAGAAACGTCAATTGTCATTGAAAATAATTTACTGTCTATTTGTTTTTCTAACAAACTAAAAATGAAATATAAGAAAATTTGATTGTTTATGAAAAAATTAGGTATGGTTTATTGCTCCATGAATGTTCTAATATTGATATTTAGCCGTTTCTACAACAAGAAATTAGTGAATGGTTTATTTTACATTTGTTTTATGATGGAGACCCGACAACAAATTTTATGGATTTTAAGGTAAAAATTTTTTTTTAGTGTCAGCGGACCCAAAATTGTAATGTATAGTGTGTTTCAAAGTGTCTAAAAACTTTCTATAATATTTCAATAGTTATATCCGCCGTTCGAGTGTCGGCGTATAATAGCATATTCAATAAAATTATTATCAAATTACCCTCTAGTGATTGCAATATCTTACTTTTTAATTTCACCCTGTAGGATATTATTTTTGACTTTGATGACTAATCAAAAAAGGGTTGTCAGTAATAAAAATTACGAAAATCTATAAATTATTGTATGATTACTACAACCCTAACCCTAACCCCACAAACTTTTAAATAACATATTCTTACACTATAGTCTATTTTTATGTATGAGAGAGTATTAAAATAATAAAGCGTTCGTAATCCACATTTTTTGAAGTTATTCCTCAAATATACACTTATATTTTCACCTAATTAACCTGCTTATAACTTCTAAACAGCTGAAGGTAAAAAAGTGCAATTTTTTCTAAAATGTTTTATTTTTCCACAACGTATGTTAAGAACATTGTGTCAAACGGGTTATGTAGGTATAAGGGTTTAAACTTTGACTTTTAAACAACGTTACGTTTATAAATAATAATTTTAATATAAAAACTACTTCTTACCTACAAATCCAAATCAGAATCGAAATCAGAAGATGAACTGTCGCAACCAATATTTACAATGAGTGGCTCGATCATTTCATCAGTGATATTGTCCAACTTCCACATTTTCTCTTCTTCTTTAATCGTATGATTTACTGCCTTTTCCCAGTTTTCAGGCTTCACATTATTTACAGCCTCCAAAAACAACTGTTTAACATCACTCATTTTAAAATAATTATTTTTTCTTGAAACTTCTCCCTTTATCTGTGCCCATATCAGTTCAATCGGGTTTACTTCGCAATGATATGGTGGTGATCTAACCACCGTCATCCCACGATTTTTTGCAATTTCATCAATTTCATATTTTTTGAATTTCTCTTTATGAAGGGAACACAAATGATACAGTTCTTTTCTCACAAAACCGGGATGGAACAATATTCTTTGAATTTAGCCAATTCTGTAAATCTTTTTTTAACCTCTTGGTTGTGGGCATTTTTTCTATAAGTCTCGAGTGATAACTTGCATTATCCCTTACTATTATACAGTTCTGAGGAAGAAGATCTATAATTTGTTCGAACCACTCTTTAAAGACATCAGCATTCATGTCCTCATGGTAGTCACCGGTACGAGTAGATTCAAAAATCAATAAATCACCTTTAACAAAACCGTTTGAACTACCGATGTGTACTATTATTAGTCTGCGCCCCTTTCCTGATGGTGGATTTAAACCAGTAGATAAATTATTTAAAAATCCTGTCTTCGACTTGTAACAGTTTCATCTTGCCAAAATGTATTTGGTTTATGTCCCTCGTTGATCCATGTTTCATCTAAATAAAATATATTTCTTCTTTGGTTTCTCATTTCTTTTATAGTCCTTAGGTAATTTCTTCTCCATACTACAATATCGCTTCTTTCTATTAAAATAGACTTTCTGGAATGATTTTTCCATAGAAAACCTATTTCTTTTAAAAGTTTCCATAGTGTGCTTCGACTCATTTCAGGGTAATCCTTATCATCTCGAACCGTGGCAAGAACTTTGTCTACTGTCGGAAATTCTTTTCTAAAGAAGAATGCATGCACTTTCCTTCGAAGTCTTTCTTTCAAAAGATTTTCTAATTGAAATTTTGGTTTTCCTGGAGCTTTACGTGCTGTTTGAAACTCGCCACATTTCTCTTCTTTACCAACTCCGTAAATCGTAGATTTCCCAACACCAAGCGTACTACTAATTCCACTGTGTCATCAACACTTTTACATAAATGTTTATCTGTAAATGATTTAAAACAATTAAATATTAATGTTTTTTCATTAACTGTTAAAGGACCGATTTTTTGTCGTTTACGCGCTCCTTCCAAATTTTCCATGATCACACTAGAATTCACACTGCACCTTGCAAGTTGCAACTAAACGACATTTAGTAAACTGTCAAGAATACACAACTTGGACCTCCTTACTAAATGGAAAACCTATAATCGCATTTTCGGTGAAATTTGTTGGGAAGGTATTTATCTACTTATAATTCGATTACTGTAAGAAATTCTTGGAATTAAAATAAAACAAAATTGGCAAATAGGTACTTATTGAAAATAATCTTAAGATACGGCTATGTAATCTTTAATACACAGTGCTTTTGGCCTGTCCAAACCTTTTTCTATTGTTCTGTATAGCTTATGTTTATAAAGGACCAATAAAAGACCCAAAACTTGTAATAGCTCAGGTACATTTATTACAATTTTAGGAAATATTTAGATTATTCTGTAAAAATATTTAAAATGACCGTACTAAGTTTTGCATTAGAAATGCTGTTTTATTACTCTCTCATACATAAAAATAGACTATAGTAAGGTCAGTTTTGTGTGATAAAATACTGAAAAAACGATAATTTGTGCAGCATTGTCTTTGATTTTTGTCATCTGGCAATACTTTTGATTGAACAGTCGTGGAGGAGCACTCTCATAAGTTAGTGAATGGGTATCCTGGCGGCATATTCGTTCTTTAATATGAGCATTTTGAAATAATTCAGAATATACGACAAGCATATCGCTATTGTGGCTGGCCCAATACAAAATATACGAGGGTGAATCAAATATAAACGTGATTTTTTTTTAAATTAACTGTATTTATTAAACGATGAAAGACAAAAATAAGTTATTTTTCTACATAGTCTTCCCCTTTAGAATAGCATTTTTCCCAGTGCACGAAAAGGTTTTTCATCCCAGCATCGTACAATGAAACAGGTTGGTCATCAGCCAATTGCGCACGAACTTCTCCACACCTGCATCATCGTCAAATCGTTGCCCTCCTAAAGCTTCCTTAGGCGGCCCAAACAAATGAAAATCGCTGGGCTATAGGAAGGCTGTTCTAGTTGCGTCCAGTGCATTTCTTTCAGTTTTGAGCCTGTTAGAGCTGCAGTATGTGGTTTGACATTGTCATGGAGAACGATGACCTATCGAATCCGTTGTTTTCGTCTTTTGCAGTATGGATTGTGCGTTGCTCGTACAAAAAATCAATGAGAAAATCCCTTGCTGGTCAAAAAACACTGTTGAGATAAAATTGCCAGCTGATAGTCGAGTTTTGGCTTTCACTGGAGCTGCCTCTCGTTTCTTCCGCCACTCTATACTGGCCTGTTTTGACGTTGGAGTGTAGTGGTGGACCTATGTCTCATCGCAGGTGATGATACCACTTAAAAATAAATCACCTTCTTCCGCAAACTTTGCTGCAAGCCTTTGACAGACCTTCAAACGCCTTAATTTGTGACCATCGTTCAAAAGACGAGGGACCCATCTAGCACAAACTTTACGGAACTCTAGGTCCTTTGTGATGATCGTTTGATAACTCCCATAACTTATTCCCACCTGTTCTGCAATTTCGGATACTGTAACTCGTCGATCGTCTTTAAAAATGCCTCGAACGGCGCGAATGTTTTCAGCAGTAATGCTGATCCGAGGACGGCGATCATTATCCTCATTTTCCACTGGTTCTCGCCCTTCTTTGAACTCCTTATGCCAAGCAAATACGCGAGTTCTTGATAATGTTTGACCTCCGAACTGTGCAGTTAATCTTCGAAAAATATCCGTCGCCTGAACTCCTTTACAAACGAGAAATTTTATAATAATGCGTTGCGCAGTGAAAGGGTGTACTTTTTGCTCGGACATCGTGACAGCTACTGATCAACAGGTTTAGGATCCCGTTTATATTTGATTTATCCTCGTAGTAACTACATTAAAAAAACTGAGAAGAGTTGATATTTATAATTTTTGCGCCCTTCCTTACAAATAGCGATATTGCTTCGAAATTTTTAAGTTCGTTAGGTAATATCTGTAGCATTGTTTTTATTACAATTTCAAGGAAAATATATACTTTGAATTCTACTTCTCGCTAATTTATTGTATTGTCTTGCTTATATGAATGGCCAAAATCTCGAAATCCTGCAGGTTTCAAGTTTCAGGTCAAATACACGGGTTTCTTTAAAACTTTTAATTTATCACTTTTATTATCTTTTAGTCATTGGAGTTTCTTTCAATCACGACTTAAACATCATCAAATCTGGAGGAATAGAAATCGTAGGAATCGAATCTTCGAGAGCACCACGCAGACAGAACGTCCAACCTCCACCGTTTTTGGAAACCAACGATTTCGTTTACTACGAAACGTCTATAAAAAACCAATACGATTTTGACACTTCTTTAAGGATAGCATCGCAAATAGTTCTGCAAAATAGCAACGGGATGACGAAGGAATTAAAGATTTTAGAAGTTACTACAAACAAAATTAACGAAAAAGTAAATCAGCAACTGAAAACGATCTTCGACAGTCAACCGTTTGTCGAAGTAGAATATACATCGAAAAAATCAGAAGATATTAAATCCAAATATGATACGATTGTTGTTGTCGAAGAGGTTTTACCTACTGTTGACTTAACTGTCTTATTAGAACATTTAACTGATAGCGGGTTTTTGCTGTATAAAGGAAACTATAATAAGATAGCAGATAGTTCTTTACAGATTATTTTCCAATCGGTCGCAGATGAAAACAGCATTTACTTGTTACGTCCCAAATACGAATTTCCCAACAATTACGATGTCGTTAACATTAGAAACACGGATTTCGATTGGTTGGAAAAGATCAAAAACCTCGCCAAAAGCGACGAATCCAAAGTCATCTATCTCTTCACACAAGACGAAGACACCACTGGGATCGTTGGACTAGTGAAATGTTTATTAACAGAACCGTACAAATTGAAATTCAGAATGATCTTCATCGATCAAGCCACGGATAGATTTTCTACTGACGATGAATTTTATCGCGACCAGTTGAAAAAGAATCTTACGTTTAATGTGTTGAAGAAAAACAACTGGGGTACTTACGTTTTTCTTCCATTGAAGAAACTTGAAAAGAAGGATGTTGGAAATGGTACCATAACCGTAACTACGATTGGAGATTTATCTAGTATTGACTGGATTGAGAGGCCTTTCGAAGGCGTAAAGTAAGTTCTTTTTTCTAATTTTCACGTATATAAAGTAATCGCAACAAGTCACAAAATCAGTGTTGCCGTTGCTATTACAATTGTAACAAATCTATTACTAAAAAGTTACACCAGTACATTATTACGACTTTTAAAAAAAGAGAAAAAATCTATTACTTTTTAAAATATCGTAATTTTATGAGTGGTTCCATCTAAACTTCAAAGCCAATACTTAAAAAAATTTAAAAATCTATACATTTGTAATTTCTGTGTTTTCTTGTTTCAACAAATCCAAGATAGGCGTCACTTTATTATATTGTATTATTTTTTTTTTTGTTATGGGTCAGTTTTTAGTTTAGTATTTAGTAGGGGATTACCACCAGTCTCCAGCATTTCAGCATAATTTATGTATTGTTTTTAATAACGTAGATCCCTTCAAGACTTTGAAGAAATATTAAATTACAAAAATTTACCCTTAGGTGAATTTTGGGTTAACATCTTTAAAATAAAAAAAAACACTGGATGAACCAAATATTTAAAATTTAAAAAAATTAATTTGCGGTTTATTTTCATTACCCCATTCTTTTGCAGAGCAGAAATAATTTTCTCTCAACTAAATAATATTAAAGTTTTATTGTTAAATGTATTTAATAATAGTTCTGGTACATTTATGTTACTTTAAAATATTATCTATTACGATTTTATTACCTTTTGGTTCAAAATTCTATTACGAAAAAAATAATAGGTGTGGCAACACTGGACAAAATGATCTAATTTATATAACCAGTTATATAAAGTGGAACATTATGCAACTGATTACGAAAAGTTGATTATGGAACCACTTACGAAATGAAAATAAATAAAAATGACTTTTCTTGGTTTTTAATGAAAATTTACATTACTTTTGAAAGGTTATATCGAAGAAAGAAAAGTTGGCAATATATAAAAATAGATTTTGTCAGGAAACTTACGATTAGTGAATCTGGTTCCGTCGCTAATTTAAACCGACTTGATCGATTCTAAATTTGTACTATAGCAAGGGTGGTCTTGGATGCTATGTATTTCGTAGGTTCGGAGAGCCCTTTTTATTTTTGGAAAGTATTAAAAACGTTAAAACTTTAGCATTAGTTTATTACACAAATTAACTAACAAAGAAAATCACATTTGACAAAAAAAAGAAGTTAAATCATTGAATATAAAAGGGAAAAACACAAAATATGGTACTTTATTCGCAAACATCGACTTGAGTCTTACAGCCGTATGCATAGTCGATCGCCAGCGACTCGCCAGAGATTCATTTCGGCGTATCGCCAAAGTATATTAACCGTTGAGTAGCGACAGCTGGGGAACAGAATTCTAGTGCGCCGACGCGAAATAGAGAGGCGAGACGTCTTCTAAAGATGTAAACACCCCTTTCACTTTAGTCCGGCAGCTGATATAGGAATTCGTTGTTGTACTCTTTTATTGTTTTTGTGGGTTTTTCATTATGCCAAAATTCATTAATTTTTCGGGGATATGTAATTAGAACCAAATAAATTAAATAATTAAAATCTTCTAAAATAAACGATTTTATTAGGGTCGTCAGAATACTAACATGGAAAAATATGCACTAAAAAGTGAACAATATGTAAACCTGACAAATAACTGCTAAAAAACTATTCGTAAACGAATTAACGCACTCAAGTAGGTACCAAGTAAAATCTTGCCTGATTTAAACCATCATCTATGCACTATCTCAAAGATATATGTGCCATTGATAAAAGAACTAATTGTTTTTGTTTAATTAAATAAAGATCTGTCCATTCAATTTAATTTTTAGTGCAAGTTTGTTGATCTGGTGACCAATAAAATCATTTACCTTAATTAATGTCTATTAAATTTATTGATAACTTGAATAGCAACATTATTACAGTATTATTATTTATGCGTAATTATTACAAGACTTTTTTCCTGATAACTTTTCGCAATTCAATTCCTCAAATCACAGTCATTCACCTCAAACATATTAACTCCAAGTTTGAAACAAATCAGCTCATCAATACAAAAGTCTGCCAACTTTATCTTTGTTAAATTCAGGTTAAAACTCATATTTGGCGGCCTTAAACATCCCCAAGTTTAGGACAATCGGTTCATTAGGAAAATCCGTCATTTTGATATTTTTATGTTTAGATAAAAAATTGTATTAAGACCACCAAGTTTCTAGTTTGAGACAAATCGGTTCTTAAACGGAAAAAACCACCATTTTTATTTCCTTGATTTTTTGTCAGAAATCACAATTAGCGACCTCAACTCAACAATCCCCAAGCTTAAGTAAATCTATTCATAAGTATAAGAATAGTAAGATTGTCCCCTATTTTGCTGTTAACTACGAAAGCGTAGAGGGCCACGGTGAAAAAAAAAGACAGTTATATCTTCCATTAGTGCTACTGCTAATTCCTAGTTCTGTCTGTTAAGTTAATGCTAATTGACACTTACATCTATCAATTAAACATTTACATCTATCAATTAGGTCTAAGGATCAATTAATTAGCATTAATCGACAAGCCAGAACTGGGAATCAGGCCTAATTGACAGATATACCTAAGGCCAATTAGTAGTAATTGACAGCTAGAACTGGGAAATAGACCTAATTGACAGATGTAAGTGAAAATTAGCACTAATTGACAGATATCACTGTCAATTATATATTTTTTTTCACTGTGATCCTTCTACGCTTTCGTAGTTTACAGTAAGATTCATCAAAAATTAAAATGATAGACGGAATGTCATCAGATTTGACACTGACTTCCATATTGTTGTATGAACAACTTGTCAAATCAGATACTTTTGTCAAACACTTTAAAAGTGAATTAAAAGTTTTGAGTAACGGGGCACATTATTAGTCAAAAATTGTATTCAGCGACATGTTTAAACAACGCGAAATTTAAAGTTTGAGACAACTCGATTAATACGTCGAGCAGTGTAAACATCACATTCAAGACCCGTTCATAATTCGAGCAGTGTTTTACTGTGTCGTTCCGTCAATAACGTCAAACGAGAGAGAAAGAAAATTTGCACCACCCAAGATTTTGATCTTTGGACACCGACGCTTTATGTCGCTACTCAACGGTTAATATACTTTGGTATCGCCAGCGATTCGCTGGCGATCCGCTGGCGAAAGCCCAAGAAGGAGGCGACTCGCCGGAGATTGTCACCGGAATGTCATTTCACGCAAGTTTTTATTTACTTTTATAGGGATTATCACCGGTATCTCTCGCATTTTATTCATGATTCATTTCTTAAAACTCAAAAAATAATGAACGAATATCAAATTTTCCCTATAAAAGAACATAAAAACTTGCGTGAAATGACATTCCGGTGACAATCTCCGGCGAGTCGCCAGCTTTTTGGGCTTTCGCCGGCGGATCGCCAGCGAATCGCTGGCGATACGCCGAAATGAATCTCTGGCGATACGCCGAAATGAATCTCTGGCGATACGCCGAAATGAATCTCTGGCGAGTCGCTGGCGATCGACTATGCATACGGCTGTTAGAAACCGCGGCAAAACTGCACAATGTCATCTGTCTCTTTCGTTCGCAATATCGATCCTATATCGATCCGGTAGGAATTAGAAATAGTATCCAATGGTAGATAACTTTATATACACATGTATATATCGGGTTGTCGTAGTGGTAGGGTGTTACAGCAAAAAATCATCAAAACACTATTTTATACGTCCTTAGATAAAAGAGACATCCTCCCCTTTTATTGTAACATAAACTCAACTAAAACCCAAAACGTTAAGGTGCTCGTACACTCCGTTCTTTTCTGGTGACGGTAACTCGTTTATCTGCAGCTTGAGGAACATCTACCTGATCAGCATCTTCTTGAGGAGCATCTACTTGATGAACATCTTGGAAAATATCTACTTGAATTGCAAAATTATTTTTCTTCTGTCTTTCATCACTTGCCAGCCATTCTTTATCTTCCAATGTAATTTTAGGTCGTCTTCAGTCGGTGGCAATTTAGGAATGGTTTTTAAAGAGGCCATTAATCCCCTCAAAATGTTAATGGAAGTAACAATAATAAACTTTAATTAACAGTAATAAATTTTTATGAAACATTTTTCAAGATTAGAAAATGTTTTCTGTACCCAATGCCAGACTATTGGCTGGTTGTATCATAACCGGTCAGAGAATGAAAATCAGTCAAATTTTTTAGAAGGTATCATCCAAATTTAAATCATATACCTTAGAATGGGGTGAATAGGATTAATTTTAAATTTTAAAATAGCGTATCTCTCAGAGTGATATATATCCTGTATATATCAAAATATGAGTTTATATCTGCTCTATTCATTTTTGATTCAAAAATTTTTTTTCAGCGATTCGTTTCCCGCATATATATTTTTTTGTTTGCTGATTCTATTCAACTGCCATTGTGGTGAATAGGATCGACCATGCTTTTTTAATGTTTAAACGCATACTCCCTTCTGTGGTGTGTATAGGATCACTTAACTTTTGTGTGAGTCCACCTAGAAATTAAAAACCCGATGGCGCAGCCAGTCGGAAAGGTAGATTTCATAAATAGTAATTAAAAGTAGTTTTTGTTTGTAACTTTTATTTTAATAAGTACATATGTGACAGTAAAAGCTATTTTAATTATTGTTTGTTGTTGTATTCACTCACACGAATTTCAAATCTGAGAAGACCTCTTCCATATGTTACTGGAGGATTTAATTTACCAACAATATGTTGAAAAGTAAACTCATATTCGTCTTTCACATCCGGGAAAGTGTAGACATAACCTGAATAGCCACTTTAATTATGTTAGGTTCAGTTTTCTTGTAGCGTTTTCCACCCACCGTAGGTTTATAATCCCTAGACATTATGACGTAGGTACCTCTTGATCCTATTCACCCCGGCCTTTGATTCCATTCACCCCGTTAACCTGAAAAATATCCAATGAATTACAAATATTCTTACAGTGTGATTTCGGTGTTGAATAGGCAAAAATAATTTTATGTGCCTTAGTTACTAACCTGATGGAGTAAATAATGTCAACTCGCATAAATATATTCCTCTCAAATCTGCCCACACAGACAAAGGGTGATATGATTGACCGTTTACGTTATCCGTAACGTACATGTTAGGCCGAGTTTTACAATAACGAGACACGTTCGTATGATGGAAAACTTTTTCCAACACATTACTGTTATTTTCCGCCTGTTATGTTCTAATTTAACAGGTTTCCATCATAAGAACTTGCCTCGTTGCTTTTAAAATTTGGCCTAACATGTACGTTACGGATAACGTAAACGTTCAATCATAGGACCCAAAGTTTACGTACACGTGAAAACAGTTAATTGACATTAGGCATTCCAACGACCTGTCAAACAATATGCGCCAGTGGGAAATTCTTGTAAATCTAAGGGGATAGCGACATAGTCTTGCAACTTGGACGCTATTTTTATTCGAAGTAGTAGTCGCCAAGCCTGCCAATTTATGAAGAAATGTATAGGTAGGTTTTTTAAATATTATTTTTATTGTGTTTGACATAAAATATTTAAATGTAATCCATTATTCATGATTTTACGTAAACTAGATAGAATACACCGTATGTCGCCACCCTTAGATATACCAAACCTTCCCTAGGCATTCCAAACAAATGAATTACCAGTGGGCAGGTTTGGTATATCTAAGGGTAGCGACATATGGTGTATTCTATCTACTTTACGTAAAATCATGAATAATGGATTACATTTAAATATTTTATGTCAAACACAATAAAAATAATATTTAAAAAACCGACCTATACATTTCTTCATAAATTGGCAGGCTTGGCGAGTACTACTTCGAATAAAAATAGCGTCCAAGTTGCAAAACTATGTCGCTACCCCCTTAAATATACAAGAATTTCCCACTGGCACCTATTGTTTGACAGGTCGTTGGAATGCCTAATTCATTTGTTTGGAATGCCTAATTGACAGCACTTCTAGTTACGAGATGGTTTGCAGAGCTACCAACTGCTGAACGACAAAATATCACTGATCGTTACAGAGGGAATAGTTAGGCAACCAATTAAACAAAAAAATAGGAGTTTCGATTAAAATATAATTTTTTGAGGTTTTGAATATGAAAATCCCACTTATTGATCCGATTCACCTCAGCGATTATATTCACCCCATTCTACGGTACTGCTAGAAATCGTCTTGAGTCTCCTCGCCCTGTTCTGAACCATATCTCTTTAGTCAAATGCTTCTTAAAATAAATGTTTAATGGAATTTTGTATTATGAAATAAAATTAACGTGATTTTTTAATATCAAACATATGCCACGACATTTGATGTAAAGAGAAGACCTTTTAAGGAATATTTCGTTAGCGTTTATTTACCACGGACTTTTCTACAAGAGACTACAGTAAAATGTTGAAATAGAATAGTGTTAATCGTGCAAGCAATGTCTACGAGTATTATAAAAAAAGCATGTGTGCAGACGAATACTACAAATCAAACCTTGTGATTTGAATATTATATTTTTTCTACGGCTATTACATAATATTAAATATTTGTCAAAATGAGAAACTGATGGTTTGTAATAAAACCTCAAAAAAAGGCATATTGAAGCCATTAAAAGTCATTTTCGCGCTAGGGGTGGGTGATTATCGAAATAAATTATGGATCATTGAAAATAATCGATTATTTTCGATCAATCGATTATTTTCATACAATCTTTTTTTTTTTCGTATTTCCTTTAAAATCGATTACTTGAACATTTTTGAAAAATCAAAAATAATTGATTAATTAAATAGCCAATTAACCTATAAATTAACAAATTATCGTTTATTTTAAATAATCGATTATTTTCAAATAAAATCTAATATAATCGATTAATTAAAAAGTCGATCAACTGCTAAATCGATTTTTCAAAAATAAAATCGAATTATCGATTATTTTAAATAATCGATTATTTGCGACCTATCGATTATTACAAAATAATCTATTTTTATCTCATTTCCTTTAAAATCGATTATTCGATTATCTTTAAAATATCGAAAATAATCGATTAATCGAAAATAACCATTTAATTAAGAAGCCGATTCTACGATAAATCGATTTTCCAAAAAAATAACCGAATTATCGATTATTTTCATATTTCCTTTAAAATTGATTATTTGATTATCTTTGGAAAATCGAAAAATAATCGATTATTAAAAAGCTGATTAACCGATAAATCGATAATTCTAAAACCGAAATATCGATTACATAAAATAACCGATTTTATTCGATTATTTTCATATAATCTATTTTTTTCGTATTTTCTTTAAAACAAATTATTCGAAAACCTTTGAAAAATCGAAAATAATCGACTAATCGAAAATATTCGGTTAATCGAAAATAATCAATTAATTAAAAAGCTGATTAAACAATAAATTGATTTTTCTAAAAAAAATCGATTATTTTCAATCAATCGATTATTTTGAATGAATTTACTTTCTTTTTGTATTTTCTTTAAAATCGATTAATACATTTTCTTTTAAAAACAGGAAAATAATTTATAGAAAATAACGAAGAAATAGATTTTCATAAAAAGATAACAGTATAACCGATATAGTATATTACATTACGAGTGTGGAAAGTGACATTTTTCACACGAGTGGGAAATATTGTCGCACGAGGCGCAAGCCGAGTGCGACTATCACACGAGTGTGGAAAATCACTTTTCACGCAAATGATGTACAATATTTTTCCTACGACCACAAAATAATATCATCAAAAAAATGTAAAACCAAGGTTATTATTACTATAACTAAAAAGTATTTAAAAAAGTAATCAACAATAATCGTATTTATTCAATTTTCATATTTTCTAAATAAAAAAAAACTAAAAGAAAAAAGAAAACAAAAAAAAATTCTGCCCCGCCAGGATTTGAACGCGGTCGAAAAATGGCAAAGTTGATAAGTTCGACGTCCTAACCACCTGTGCTAATAGCCCTTGTGTCAATTGAATGATCTAATCGGTTATGTATTTAACCAGAATAAAGAGCAAACATTATTTTAAAATTATTTTAATAATAATTGTTAAAGATAAATTTCTAGGATCTAATTTACAACAATTTCAATAATTTAACAATCTCGATTTTAGTATTAATATGGACATTACATAGATCAAAATAGAAATTAGGTGTTTGACATTTTGTGACAACTACTGCGGAAAGTAACATATTCTCACTCGGGTGGAAAGTAAATTCTTATTCATACGCGTGTGATATAGGGCACTTTCCATAGGACTATATAGTGTGATATGTGTCACTTTCCTAAGTGGTCGTAGGAAAAATTGATTATTTTTGTAACCCCTATCCATTTATGCATTTATCCGAGCATTTAGCTCTAAAATTTAGAGATTTTTTTGATCCTGTTATCTTTGAAACCGCATTCGATTGTATAATAACAAAAATAGTCCGAACTTCTAGAAGGTACTTTTATTTTTTTTCTTCTTTATGGAATAATCTGTTATTTACATTTGGACATTTCTTCAAATAAAAGTTGCTTGTTATGTTATTCTTTATAACTTTTGTTTTGTACATAATTTTTCTAAAATAGTCCGTACTCGGGAATTTGACAAAAGTGCAAAATTCAAATTTTTAAACAAATTATTCGACTAGATTTTGTGGAAGTTAACCATTATGCATTTTTATTGGACCCTTATGTCGATTGACCATTTTATCCAAGTCAAAATTAAATTGGGAAATTGTTTTTTCGAACTTTGAGCCCTGGTGCGTGCAGTTTGGAAAAATTTAAACTAAAATTTTCGGCCATAAGACTTTATGTAAAGACCGATCCATAAAAAATATTTCTAAAGTAAGCCATGACCGACAAAGACAGATACGAGTGATATCCGTGATAACTACGCGCAACTCTAATTTAAATCCAAACTGACATTTAAAAATAATAAGTATTGTACTCTCGACATACGTGAATTTTTCCAAGTCCTACTTTGAAAACATTTTTTGTAAGTCACTCTTTATTATTATCTCGTAGGGTAAACGAAAAAGCTGAACTCGTCTACGTATACTACTCGGCTTTGAATTTCAAAGATGTTCTATTAGCAACAGGAAAAATTCTATTACCAGCTCCTCCTGTACCTGCCGGATTAGACATAAGTATCGGGCTAGAATACTCTGGCGTAACAACGAAAGGAAAAAGATTAATGGGACTTGTAGCTAGCGAAGCGATTGCTCTGCAAGTGAATACCGATCCAGGTTTCACTTGGGAAGTACCGAATAGTTGGAGTTTGAAGGACGCTACTACGATACCTTGCGTCTATGCTACCGTAAGTTTGTAAAATTACAGAGGTATCAGGTGGCTCAGTAAGAGAGGCTTTCGAACATATTTAAAGAAACGTATTCCCATGTTTTTTTTTTATGTCCAAACATTGAAATATTTTCCTAGATAAAAGATTCCCGAGATATTTTCGAAAGCCATTCTTAATGAGCCACCCGGTACATTCAGTAACATATTTGGGATTGTTAGTCAAAGATTTAAGATGTCTTGTTAATTTTAGTGCTACTATGGAATGATCATTAGAGGCCAGCTGCAACCAGGAGAATCTATTCTGATTCACGCAGGAACTGGTGGAATAGGCATATCAGCGATAAATATTGCCCTTTCCATGGGTTGCCAAGTATACACAACGGTTGGTTCTAAAGAAAAAAGGGAATATCTGAAAAGAATGTTTCCACAATTAGATGACAAACACATTGGTAATCATTTCATTGCAACTTAACTAGTTTCGAATATATTTAGCAGAAGGAACATCACTTTGGTAACATATTCATCGAGTTATTCGGTTGGGACTCAAAGACAAAAAAGAGGAGCTGAAAGAGTGACTTTGCACAAGGAAAAACCTTGATAGAGCCTCTGTAGATTCGAAGACGAATAGATGACCTGAAGGAGCAACGTCGGTCCAGAGGAAACGTTAAAGTAGCCTCTTCTTTGTCTTTGAGTCTCCAGTAACTTCTTCAACGTTTTTTTTGACCGAAGAACTCAATGAATACGTTACCAAGTGGTCTGATGCCCTCCTATTCCTTTTTGTTTCCTATAAAGTTATTATTTTTAGGAAATTCAAGGAATACAACCTTCGAAACAATGATAAAAACAAACACTAAAGGAAAAGGGGTGGACGTAGTACTCAATTCTTTAGCAGATGAATTGTTCCAAGCGTCGATGAGATGTCTCGCGGAACGGGGAAGATTTTTGGAAATAGGAAAAGTTGATTTGACGAACTCGTCTCCGATACCAAGCAAAATGTTCCTTAGAAACATCAGTTTCCATGGGATACATCTAGACGGATTGTTTTTCTTAGACGCAGATGTTAAGAAGGAAATACAATATTTGGTGGCCGAAGGTATAATATGCTGTTTAAATCTATGGGAATTGTCTTTATTACATAGTCCGATTAGTATGATTCTTTCTTGTTAGAAAAGGGGTACCTCTTAAGAGGTTTACTATATGTGTTGATGTTAACTTTTTTTCTTAAAATCACCCAAGGATTCACACCCTTAAGTATCGGCACTGAATTAATAAACACCCTGTATCTTATCTTTGAACGTTTAAAAATATACTAATTTTCCGTCTATGATTACGTAGGAATTACGATGGGCGTAGTGAAACCGCTGCCCAGTATGGTATACGACGAAACTCAAGTAGAATCCGCCTTCCGATTCTTAGCATCCGGTAAACATAAAGGAAAAGTACTGATCGAAATGAGAAAAGAAGATTTGGTTCCCACTAACGCCCCGATAAGAAGCATATCGGCTATACCGAGAGTCTATTTCGATCCCAAAAAATCGTACGTCCTCATCGGAGGACTAGGAGGATTCGGACTCGAATTGACGGATTGGCTTATTCGAAAAGGTGCTACCAACATCGTGCTGAATTCCAGGAAGGGTCTTTCTAACGGTTACCAATCTTACTGCTTGCGGAAATGGTCTCAATGGAAGGGAGTTGTCGTCAAAATTAACACCAACGATACCAGTACTGTCAAAGGAGCCGAAGCGTTAATTAAAGTGGCTAACGAATTGGGACCCGTAGGAGGTAAAGTATACACTGAGTCTTCAACCATACCCTTATCCCTCGTAACTAAATTGATATCATCAGTTGGCTAAAAGTAACATTAATAAATTCAGTAGTAACCAATAACCTATTTGATAGAACTGATACGTAAGTTTTCATAAAAGTCACTAAGAAATGCCATTTTTAATAAATTTATTGTTTTAACAGATCACATGAAATACGTGTATTATTGAAGACTAGTTACTTATTGAAGGAACTTATTTAGCAACACTAATAAACTATTTCATAACCATTAGGTATATTCAATATGGGATTAGTACTTAAGGACGCTCTTATAGTCAACCAAACAAAAGAAAATTTCGATAGCGTCTTCAAACCGAAAATAATTTCCGGTAAAAATATGGATACGGTCAGTCGGACCTTGTGCAAAGATTTGGACCATTTCGTAGTATTTTCGTCAATAGCTTGTGGAAGGGGAAACACGGGTCAAACGAATTACGGTATGGCCAATTCGGCGTTAGAAAGACTGTGCGAAAAACGAAAAATGAACCAACTTCCCGGATTGGCCGTTCAATGGGGTCCAGTTGGAGAAGTGGGAGCTTTGGCTAAACTAGGAATTGAAGATAAGGTAAAGTAAAAATGATAAATTTTACGAAGACGCCCTTTTCTTAAAAATACAATTTTTTTACAAAATTTACATTTTAGGTTTTAGGAAGGAGAGTATTTTTCAAATATACCACCGGAAAATTGACGTTTTTTTTTTAAATTATATAATAAAAGTTAATGAGGATCATTAAGTGATCATTTATATAAACTTATTTATTAGAATTTAGAATATCTGTCATGCTCTGTCAATAAAAATATGCGCGGTGTTGCCAAGTGATTAATTAAAATCAACGAAAAAGAAATATAAACAAAATTACTCTATTTTCCATAATTACACTTTAAAAAGCAGTTCTTTTAATTTATTTCCAGTCATAGCCGACGATCTTCAACTGTCTTGGGCCCCTTGGTAACTTTTATCGCGTTCAATGTAAGGTTACTATTTTTTGTGTATACATCATTCATTATCTTTTCATACATAAAAATAACAAGATGGAAACAAAAAATTGTTTTCGCTCGAAAATATGCACGTTTTGAAAATAAATCAGTTCTAAGCTGACACCGAGTATTAAAGTATCAAGTAAATTTTTCGTAAAATGCCATCCGATTTCTCAGTTTGAATGGGCAAGAATAGTGGCCTTATATCTAAAGGATTTGTCAAATCACCAGATTGCGGGTCATCTGAATATTCCACGGACTTCGGTGAGGCGCATAGTGGCTCTTTCCCAGGAAACGGGCAGTATTGTGTGAAGGCCGGTGACTGGTCAACCCAGAGTGACATCAGAGAGGGAAGACCAGCATATGGCAAATGTTACTAGAAGGAATCAAAGTATAACGGTAACAGCCTTTCAAAGTCATTTTTGCGAACATACCAGAGGGTAGTTTCGAAAAGTGCCATAAGAAGGAGATTGCATTTCTTAAATCTAAAGGCAAGAATACCTCCAAGAGTGCCTAGGCTTTTACCTCGATACAGAGCTGCACATCGCCAATAGCTTCAAGAGCACAGGAACTGGCTTTTACCACAATGGCGCAACGTCATTTTTTCGGGCATCACGATTTGGCCTACAGAATGATAGTCGGCGGGAAAGGGTCTCAAGGGGTCCAGACAGACAGGAACTACTTACTTTTGTTAGAGGTGTTGTTCCCTATCAAGGCGAATTAGTGATGTTTTGAGGGAGTATAATGTTTGGTATTTTCATTGAGAGAACTATGAGAGGTACCATATACGCTAAAAACATTATTAAATCAGTTAGCCTTTGCGCAACGAATTTGGGTACAATTTGGTTTTTCAAGACGATAATGCCAGAACGCATACACGCAAAGAGTACAAAACATGCTGCAGGAAAGAAATATCCAAAAAATGAACTGACTGCCAAACTCTGCAGACATGAATCCATGGCACATGTATGGGATTATCTTGGCAGAGCAATATCCAATCGAGAAATCCCCCTTTAATCTTCCTAAAGTTGACTATAGCTGTTCAAGAAGAGTGGAACAATATGCCTGACAATTTTATTGATAACCTGATATAGGGGATGCCACGACGAGTAGACAAATTCTTTTAAAGGAGGGGCTATTAAGTTAGGTCTTTGTTACGAAATAACATTTTTTCTCAAAAAATAACATTTTCTTACAATGTTTGTACCTTTTTTGTAATTTCCATTATTCTGCACTATTCAAAAAGCAAAATTACCAAAGTTATGTACCACATAGTTTGGTATTAAAATCAAAAATTTTAAACGTAACTTAAAAGAAGGGTGTATCGATATACGTTTTAAATGGGATAACTTTAAAAGTATCCACCGAGTGACGTCACAGTTAACCTAGCACAAATTGAACTAATTCAGCTATCCTTTTGTTAATAATAGTCTTTAAATTTGGATGGCTGGCGTCATTTGTCAAACAAATAAATTCACTTGTTTGTAAGAAGTTTTCTCAACTAGTTAGAAATACTTTCACTTGTGCCTTATGAACTGGGCATGCTCGGGCGCTAGTTTATATTAGAGTAGTTTGCTCCTCTTTACCTATTGGAACCACTGAACTAAATATTAAACTGGAAGAACAAATCCGATCAACAAAATCAAGCCGCATAGCGAGGTGATATTTGACCCTTCGGCGCCCACACGTGCGTATCGAAATGCACTAAAAAGGATCATCAAAATTAAATGTAACACTTATTACATTCAACTACGACACCTTTTAATTTAAGAAAATCATTTAAAAATGATTTTTGATTAATACGCAGCTGAAACAAATGTTCGAATAATAATTATTATTAAAATAGGGCGTTATTAATAAGAAATAAAATAATTTATCATAGTACGCCCGTGAAAAACGTGACGTAGAATGCTTGAAATTGACAGTCTGGCGTCCAAATTGTCGTGCGCACTGACTGTTTTTTTCACCCATGTCGGTTTAGAAATTAGGAGTAGGGTTTATGTCATATAGCCATCCAGTTTAATATCAAGGTCGGTGATTCGAACCAGTTCCAAAAAGGGCTGCAGGTAGCTGCAGTGAAGAAAGAAAAGAGATTTACCACAAGGGAATAAAATGCCAGGTTTTAGTTTAACACATATATTGATCCTTCGGCAACTAACAAATGTTACGAATGAAAATCTGTTTGAATTAGATATTTTATTTACAAGCCCTCCCCAAGTTCTTGGATCAAACCCTAAACAAAAATTAAACAAAAAGCATTCGTAACGAAAAATAACTGGGAAAATAAACTAAAAACTTAATCGGACAAGTAGATAAGGGCGTTTAAGAATAAAACGGTGTCAGGGAAACAGCGGTCAAATCAGAAGTATTACGAGTCGTTGTAGCAAGTTTACAATTTTCGGCAGGGTGAAGTTTCGGAATCTCATGAATTTCTTTTTTAAGAACTTCTGACTATTCGGTTATCCCTAAAGCGCGGGGAATATAGAGACACGGCGGGGAGTGAATGGGAGCGGAAGTAAGGTGTAAAAGATTGATTGCAAAACTAGCTACAGTCTAATGGACCACAAGATTAACATCCTGGTGACGTAAACCCTGAGGATGACGCTCCGGCTGTTTAACCTCGTATAAACCAGACTCTGGGAGCGAAACCGAATCAGCCCATTCTACCACGCGGGATAGTCACTTTACATCGATTTACAATTCAGATTCCAGTCAACTGGTCGAGAATTCACTAGAAGTCTAACTACTTATTGGAACAGGTATCAGGATTAAATAAATCAGAAGAATGTTAATCGTGGAACTAGAGAAATTTACTAAAGAAATACAGATTTGTACTAAACTAAGCTTCACTTCTGTTCAATAGCAAATCCGGAACATATTATCTGAGTTGGTTATCAAATTAGCTCATTCTACTGCGGGAGTAGTCACTATGTCTTTAATAATAACTCTAATTCGGGGAATTTTAATATCGGATTGTACAAATAAGAAGTTCTTAAGAACCCTAACATGTCCTGACAGGAATGGGAACAAACGAGAGTCAAATCACTTATTACTTAATGAATGTTCAAGAAATTCATGTTATCCCAGTCGAAAAAAATTGAAACTACTATCGTTTAATTTCTTGGCAACCCGGTAAACTATTTTTAAACAAAATATTCGGAGAAGTTCAAACCACTTCTAAATTAATCACCCACCCGGTATAAATATTTTTCAAACTAATAGGAACTAAATTATGTACAACCCCGGTATACATATTTTCAAAACCAATATTTACAATATTAGTTTTAGTTTTACGGTTTATTCAGCATAAATAATTCTTAAAACAAATTAAATTCTATTTATTAAAGAAAAATAACCCGAGCCAATATTTATACTTGAAATTAATTAAATTATTTTACAAGGAATGTTGATAGTGCGATTTTGAACGTTTACTGAAAGGGGCGTAGAAAAATATATTTCCGTACGTACTTTCATTCAGCTGTGTGTCCCGAAAACCGAATAAAATCAGAAGAAATCATTTCATTTTCTGTAGTGCTTATATTTTCTTTTTATTCAATTTTTTATTACAACTTTATCAGTATTTTCGAAGCACAAATCCGAAATTCGTCAGCTAATTTCACATTAATGTTGAGAACCGTGTAAACGACATTTACCAATAACAGACACGTAATGAGATCTCATAATATACATGTGCGTTTTGATAAGAAAACTTAAATTTCTTGGTTTAATCAAATTGAAATCAAATTTTTGTCTACGTGCGACTTTATTTGATCTTTAAAAAACAAAAACTTTTAGTATTAGCGAGATACATTTTGGATTAAAAGAGTGATGCCCCTAAATGTCGGCAACATATTATACAATTTTTCAAGAAATATGTCGCGTTTTCTTAGCATGCTATAAAAATGTCATGCCATTTATACTGGGCGGCTATCCTCGACAATCGCTAAAAAAACGAACCGTTTTCGAAAGTGAGTGGTTGAAAAGCGAGTAGTTTTTGAAATCTATATTCTTGACTGACGTTCGATGAGTATTCGTTTTTTAAGACGTGTACGTTTTTAACAAGCAAATAATATGTCTGGCATCACTATAAACTGTCTATATCGTTGAATTCAAGTAATGTTCAGGCCATAAAACAATAAGGATTATGTAATTTAATTACAACAAACCAATTGTAAATTTTTCGAACGATGATTTTTTCTAATCACATAATATATATCGATGTTCAGGATAATCTGAATCGTTAATTGTTGACGTAAAAATAGCTATACGGATGCAGTTAATGCAACCTATAATTCTAGGAAAATCGTACGTCATAAAAACCTAGTTTTTATGGTAAAAAATTCATTTAACTAATAACTTTGCCTATCTTATTCAGTTCTTTAATATTTTGTGGCAATTTTACAAAATTGTAAAAATTTCTGGACACAACGTGTGATACAGAAGAGCTTTGAACCGCAAGCAAATTAACATTTGTAAATAAAACATACATGAATTAATAATTAAATTCTTATATGAAAAATATTCACTCAATATCAGTTAAAATCAAAAACTGGATTCTGCCTCTGCAAGTCTGAATCTTTAAGGATTCTTATCTTCTAAGTTTTCTAATTGTACAATTATTGATAATATAATTGATAGAAATTCTCAGCTAATCTACTTCTTTAGTACAGCAAGCCATATTTATAAGAAATTAGATACTTTTGTAGGTATTAATAAAAAGTAGTTTACCTAGAATTTGTTAAAATCAATCAATATTATTAATCGTCCTAAAAGTGACATATAAGTGACATTTACTAAATCCTTGAAAACATGCACGTTTTATCAAAAACGTGTGAAAAATTCCGCTCGCTGTAAAACACCCGTTTTAAAAGCGTACTCGCTTTTAAAACGAATGTCGAGAATAGCGAATAGCTCGTATGTTGCTAAAGCGTATACGTTTTTTAGAAAACGATAGCCGAGGATAGGGACCCTGTCAATGTTTGTAACAAAATATGATTGTATCCAAACATTTTCTCAACTTTACCTACGAATATGTTTCTTAGCAGTGAAAGTGATGAAATTATGAGCACTTCACCGGAGATTTTAGAAAATGCTCAAGCTGCCACACATAATTTGTTACTGCTAAAATCCAAAGAAATGTACGAAATTACCTATCGAAAATTTATGGATTGGCGACACAAGCATATGCCCTTTATTTAATAATCAATCAATCAATCAATATATGTTTATTGTCAAAGCTACAAGAACTTATAGACAAACACTTATAAATATAATTATTATGTAGTACTAACAATTACATGCAGAAAAATTTAAAAATTGTATAAAAACGTTAAATATAAAATTAGAGGTTAATTACAAATACAAATACGTAACACAACATCGATAAAATTATATAAATACAAAAACATGTACGTTCAAACAGTCACAACGATTTAAGAGTCATTGTAAAATTCCGTCAAAGCATAATATGCTTTTGTCATCAACATATCTCTAAGCAGTATTTTAAATGTTGTGACCATTTCCGTCGATTTAATATCATTTGGCAACTTATTGTACATTTTAATCCCATTATAAATGAAAGAGCCCCTTACCAGTTCAGATTTGAGTATGGGCAACCGCAGGTTGTCAACTTGTCGCGTTAGCCGAGCGTTAGTATTAGCATAGTTCGATTTATTTTTATGTATAATACAAGTGGTTTCAAGAATGAACAACGATGTTAATGTTAAAATTTCATGTCTAATAAAATGTGGCTGACATGACTCAAGCTTGTTCATTCCACATAAAAATCGTATTGCTCTCTTTTGCAGACAAAAAACAGTATTGAATAATTCGCGCTGCAACCTCCCCAAAATGCAATTCCATATCTCAAATGGGACTCAACTAGGGCGTAATACACACTTTTTGCTGCCTTAAAACCTAGTTCTTTTGCCACAGTTCTGACTGCAAAACATCCAGAAGAAAGTTTTCTGTTTAGCAATTCTATATGGTTTCTAAATTTCAAATTATTATCTAAATTAATTCCCAGAAATTTTATTGTGTCAGTACATTCAATAATATGACTTCCCAACTGAATATTTGGTAGGGAACATTTAAGGGTTAGCATTTTAGTTTTCCCCATATTAAGACGCAAATAGTTGGCATCGCACCATGCTTTGATTTTCTTAATGTCACAGGATATGGTGTTGTATAGGACAGAAGTGTCATTGCTGTGCCATAAAATCGTAGTATCATCTGCAAATAGAGTGAAAGTCCTGCAATTTCAAGTTGAGCTAAGTCATTCGCATAAAGGAGAAATAAAATGGGACCTAACATAGAACCCTGAGGGACACCCCAACTAATATCTAAAACTTGAGAATCCTGAGACGCTCTTACCATTTGCTTACGTTCTGAAAGATAAGATTTTACCCAACTCAGCGCTCCGTTTTTGATCCCGTAAACTCGAAGTTTATCCAACAGTACTGTATGATTGACGCAATCGAACGCCTTAGTTAAATCATAGAATATCACCGCTACAGAATCGTCAACATTAATTCTAGAATAAGCATGTTCAAGATAAGAAAATATCGCATCAGAAGTACTTTTGCGCCTTTGAAAACCAAACTGTTGTGTTTCCAGCAATTTGTGAGTTTCTAGATAATGAATCAAACGTTTTTTTACAACTTTTTCAATAATTTTGGCCACTGTAGGAATGAGAGATATAGGCCTAAAGTTCGAAGGATCGTAGTTACTGCCGCCTTTATGTATATGAACAATAACACTGGTCTTAAGAAATGACGGAAAATTTGATTCGCCGAAACTTTGGTTGATCAGACTAGCAAGGACTAACATTGCTGATTCAGGAAGATTTAGGATAACTCTAATAGAAATATCATCATAACCAGCAGCATTTTTGTTTTTAATATCTGAACATATTTCCATTATTTCAAAACATGTTGTAAAACTTGTAAAGTTGGAGTTAACATGGGTATTTTTTAAATAATCTAAAGGATCAACTGACGATCTGAAATTATTAGTCAGATTTTCAGCAATTGAGCAATAATACTGATTAAATGTTTCTGAATCGATGTAGTTCTTAACGGATTTGGAATTTTGTTTATTTTTCAATTCATTAATAATATTCCAAGTTTCTTTAACTTTATTATTAGATTTTTCAATAGAAGAAAATAAGTAAGCGTAGAAAAAGTATAGTACGTTACACGAGTTGTAAGCCCATTACGCACGAAGTGAAAAAGTTTACGCACGAAGCCGCGCAGCGTCGAGTGCGTAAACTTTTTCACTTCGTGCGTAATGGGTTACTTACAACTCTTGTTCCGTAATATACTATTACATTGATTAATTTTTTTAACGTCCGCCACATTTCCTTTGGTTTTATACCTATCAATTTTAGCTTTATAGTAGGATTCTTTTTTTATTTTTAACATATTGACCACTTCATTTCTATATTTTTTAAAAGTATCCCATTTAGCTATTTTACTACTATCATTACAGCATCTCTAGACCTCATCTTAGAATAAGTTTCATTGTCAATCCAAGGTAAAGTAGGCTTGTATGTAAAAGTTTCAATAGGTGCTATATTATTAATAATGGTTGTATAGATAAAATGTCATCATATAGTTCATTAATATCGATTGAATTAACCAGTAACACATAAGTAGATTTAATTTGATTGTCTAAATTATCTGTATTTAAATTTCTGACTTTTGTTTATATATTGGGCATTACCGTTACTAAAATTAACCAAAAAAATAGAATGGTCAGTTAATTTAGGAGAGTTATGAACAGCAGTTATAACATTATTTTGGTTTGTTATTACAAACTCAACTAATGTCTCACTAGTATCAGTAATACGTGTAGGCTCTGTTATAAGTTGCTAAGTTAAAAAAATGTTTTTTATCTTATTAGCATAAAAACTATTACCTAAAAGATCCAAATTAAAATCACCAGTTACGATTGGGTAAACACACACTATCGCAATATTCTTCAAAGTCTACAATAAATGTGGCATCAGAGCTGGATGGAGAATGATATAAACATCCAATATACCAAAATGTAGAGGTGATATTAACTTTGATTATTTTACACCAATAATTTCCATCTAAAATATAGGTTTTGAACACAGAATATTCGAATCTTTTATGTATAAATATCAAAACACCTCCAGTAGAACGGGATTTGGAATTACACCGTATGCAGTTATAATTTTCTATAGTAATTACAACGTCTTCGATGTCATCAGTGACTCTTGTTTCACTCAATAATATGAGTTTAGGATTGTAGCATAAATTATTATATTATTATCTTTATTTTTTAGAAAGCTTTGTGAATTTAGATATATAATATCAGTATTAAGTAGTATATTAGGGTTTAAGATGCGTTTTTGTAGTAGTTACATTTGGTTTTTTCACTATAGTGGGCTTATTATTAGTATATTTAATTGTTTTTGAATTATCTCCATTATTAATTAATGCTTGCAATTCAACTTTAACATAATAGTCACGTTGACACTGTGTTTGGTCCGCAAAAGTAACAATGCTAGGAATGTCAATTGCTGTATCATTTTAGCTTCTTCATGTGATTTTAAATTTAATTTGATAGGTCTAGTCTTATTAGGCTGATACTTTCCAAGTCTAAAAACTTTAACATCATCAGTACTTACATTAAGGTTGCTAATTATATTTATGACAGTCTCTAAGTCTTCCTTATTCCTGTCAGCCTGAGATCTCTTTTTAGACTCATTAACATTTAAGAGTATAACATTGGACGCACGATTTTTTAAGAAAAGGACGTTACACAATATTGATAAAATTCCAATTTAACGTCAACCTTTTTATTTTGTTTTACTTTTAGGTATTTAAAAATCTTCAACCACAAAAAATTGCGTCCTGTCTGAATGCCTTGGAAAAGTTTATGTTACAACCTTTGGTAATTGGATCTAGTATAGTACTTGTAGATACCACTGATACCGGTAGTCAACAGACGACTCGAACCCCGGTCGAAGCAGTGGCACATATTTTAGGAATACATAATTTGGGTAAGTATTAAGACCTTTGTTAATGTAATTAAGTTTCAGATGAACAAAAGAAATATATAAATATAGGCTTTGTTTAAAGTCAATGATACTCCAGTAGTTTTTCATGGGAATCCAAAGAATTTTTTTCGCCATAATATATGGTTCCTCCAACCTTTTTTTATGACCTTTGTCTTTTAGATTTTTCTTCTTTTTCGGACCATCTTTTAAAAATTGTTCCTTCGGCGATACCAGTTGAAAATAATTTTTTTCAATAACTTCTTTTCCTATAGATTTTGTAATATTTTGGTAAAACTTTAGACATATTTGATTAGCCTCAAATAAAATTATCAGAATTTAAGTAGCTTATCAATGAGTTGAACATGATTTAAGATACAGGCTTATAAGATATCAAAATAACGAATAGACATGATAGAACTAGTTTATTTTATATATTTTGAAACACCAATGTTAGCCATCAAAAAAAGGAAGTCGTCTAATAATAACAAGCCACATTGAAAGGATTTATGGAAGATGGCTTATTGTTATTTGAGTCAAAGAAAACGTGGTTTAAAAATATTCAATTTTATTCGCCATCTTCTCGTTCATGTGTTAATCTTCTTCGTGATTTTTTTATCAGCAAAAATTGCAGTATCATCAACAAATGTTCCGATAGTATTGGGCTCAAGATTAAGAATACACTACCTTGAGGTACTCCTGCCTTAATTTCTCTTAGGTCAGAATAGGGTTCTTCCTGTTTAATTCTAAAATACCTTTTTGATAAATAGGATTTTAATACTTAAAAGTGAGGTTATGATGGTGGGTGGGGTTTTTCTCACCTGTAAGTCAAATGGCACCATCAATCATCCTTAAGTCGCCCCGGAGCACCACGGCAAATAATAATAACCGTCCCTTTCCCCGGAAAAGCTCAGGTTTGGGGGTTAAAATTCACTCGCAAGGGGGTGAATTAGGGAGAGTTTTATTATTATTATTATTATTGATGTGGGAGAAACATGTTTAGTTTTTGCATAAGGCCTTCAAGCCATACTTTGTCGAAAGCCTAAGCCACAGACAAAAAGATGGTGCAAACTTTTTTCTTCTAGTAACTTCTCGATGATACCTGTGATTCTATGAACTTGGTCGATGATCGATGTTTTTCTCTGAAGCCAACCTGATGTGAGGGTATTTGGTCTTTTTCTTCTATGATTGGTTTGAAACTCTTAAGAAGCAATTTTTTATAGTTCCGAGCTAACAGGTAACAAAGAGGTCTGTACGATGTAACTTTATGTGGAAGTTTACCTATATTAGGTATCATTATAACTTCTGCCGCCTTCCACATCTTTGGTACGTACTTTAGTCTAAAGAACGCATTGGTGAGATTGGTCACTTTGAAAATAGCTTTCCGAGGAAGCATTTTCAAAATTTCCCCAGTAATGAGGTCAAATCTTTTTTTTGGACAGGTAGGTTTAAGGATTGTATCTTTTTGTGCTAGTCTTTAAACTCTTTAAATGTTATACAAATTTGTTTGCTTTTTGCAAATTGTTTCAGGCCCAACTTCCATCTCTATTTTTGATTGGTGGTTATGTATAGTATTTTAGCAGTGCGTTTTACTATTAATAAAGGCTTTTCCTTTTGTATATAGATTTTATTTCTGACAAGACAATTTTATTATTCTGACAAATCAATAATTATTTTTATACAGGATGATAAACAACAACTATAAAAATAAAATATATTTTCTTTATCACTATTGATTCTAACATGGCAGACCTTATTAATCATTTGGTAGCTTTCCAGAGTAAATAATCTGTATTATTAATGTTAGTTAATTCACTTAGCGCCGTATTTCACGTTTTAGCTGTTGTGTTGCGTTGTTTTAAGCTGTTTAATCATCTGGTGCTCTAGACTATTACCATTTTCTTCTAATTTTCCTTTTTCTGAGATAATATTTCTAATCTCTTTCGGATACTTATTACCTTACATTCTGTATTTAATGTTTTTTTTACAGGTTTAGTTGATAAAACAATGACGCTATCCCAACTCGGACTGGATTCACTGATGGGAACCGAAATTAAGCAAACCCTATACAGAAATTTCCAACTAGAATTAACACCAGAAGAAATCAGAGATTTAACCCTAAATGCGTTAATATCCCTAGGAGGATCCGATACCGAATCGATACCAACCACCAACGGAGTCTCGAAAGAAATCCAGTCCGTTACACCGGAGTTGGCCAGTTACCTGATACCGGCAGAAATCGTGATTAAAATGAACAGTATAAATAACCACAGTAAGAATATCTTCTTGCTTCATCCCATCGAAGGGAACGTCGACATCTTGAAGTCGATAGCAAAGAAAATTAAAGCGACCGTGTACGGTTTGCAATGCACCAGCGAGACCAAAGCGGACAAAATGGACGATTTAGCCAAATATTACGTAAAAAAAGTGAAACAAATCCAACCGAAGGGTCCGTATTATTTCTGCGGATACTCTTACGGAGGATCTTTGGGAATCGAAATGAGTTTGCAGCTAGAGAAGATCGGCGAAAAAGTCGATTTTGTTACTATAGATAGTTCGCCAATATTTGTTCAAAATTTATTGAGGAATACTCACATGAGATTGGATCAGAACATGGAGAAGGCGCAAGCGGCAATTTTGGAAACGTTTTCTTCGTCATTTCCGCAAGTTAATCATTTGGAGGTATCCAAAGCGTTGGGTAATTTCAAAGATTGGAAGCAACAGCTGGCAAACGTCAGTGAAATTATTTCAAAATCCGTTGGTATAGACAGGACTAAAATTTCCGATGCAGCTGACAGCTTTTTCCGAAGAGTTCACGCCAGTTATTACTACCAACCTGCGACTACATTCGGAGGCAGAATTTTGCTAATCAGAAGGGACGAGAATCCGTTCTTCTTGTCTGATAACTACGAATTACAAAAGGTACAGTTTTTGACAATATTAAAATTTGGTTGAATATTTGATAAATTCTAGGGTTCTCGGAAAATTGGTCTAAAAAAATTTGGTCTAAAACATTTAGTTAAAAGAGCATACATTGCTTATGAACAATGCCGTCGAACCGTGGGGCGCACCTGGGGTTTCTCCCCAGAGTCGTCGCATGGACTTACACGGCTATCATAAGACCTATGCTTATATACGGTGCAGTTGTCTGGGTACCGAAAACCCAAAAATTAACAGCTATAAGTAAACTAGAACAAATTCAAAGAACAGCATGTCTCAACATAACAGGAGCCATGAAAACAATACCGACCAGAGCCATGGAAGTCATTCTTAGTCTCACTCCTCTTGATATTTACATCAAGGAGGTTGCTCTGATGACAATGACACGCCTCCGTACGGTGTGGAATAGAACCTGATGTAGGATCTGGTGAGGCGAGACGTCGCTTTTGGCAGGAAGCCCTCGATACGCTCCCACTGCTTCAAACGAATATGGACTCCATCTCATCGAGATATACCTTCCATATAAAGTTATAATAGAACAAATAGAAGAGCTGGAAGCGGCATGTACGATTCATATCTACGCCGACGGGTCTAAAACAAAACAAAGCTCAGGATGTGGAATATACTCCAAATTCTTAAACCTAAATATAAAATGGGCTGTGAGCAATAGTGCTAGTGTAGTTCAAACAGAGCTAACGGGGATTCTCATAGCAGCAAAAGAAATAACTAGAAACAATATCACTGGAAGGAAAACATGCTCATCTATATAGATAGCAGACAAGCACTACTCACCCTGAACAGACCACGAATTTACAGAACTAGAATGTCACAAAGCTTTGGCCGAAGTATCCATCAACAATGAGGTCACCTTAAGATGGATCAAAGGTCACGCCACATCGAAAAGTAACCGTCTTGCTGATTCACTAGCCAAGAAAGCAGCTAACCAAATGCTTTTTGGACATGGCCCTTCTATTGGCCTGACAAAATCGGTAGTGACAGACCTAATCAAAGAACATTTCATTGTGAAATTCTGAGAAAGATGGGATGAAACAAGAAACTGCAGAGCTGCCAGGGAGCTCTTAAGTTATCGTGACAACACTACAGCAAACAAATACTTGACTATGACTAGGCAGAATCTGACCCTAGTCACAGGCATTCTGACTGGTCATTGCCAAGTACCAAAGCATCTCCATATCATTGGGCTGTCAGAATCCGCACTCTGCAGAGGGTGTGTTCGGCGAGTATCGGCTAACACCAGCCGATATAAGAGAAGCACCTCTTGGCGACGTTGTCAACTACATTAAATCTGTAGGCTGGCTCACGAGCTAGTAGGTGCCTATCATCTCAGGAGGATGCACAATGGACCTAATGAGGCCTAAGCGCCGTGGAGGGGTAACCCTAACTTCACACGTTACAGATACAGAAACGTTTAGTTTTTAGAATAACCTTATTTAAAACATATTTGTCTAAAGTACATTAAAACCAAAAGATCATTGATTTAAATTACATTTGTTCTAAAAACAATTATTCTAATTACTTCGAAACTAAAAAGTTTGAAATTGAAGTAACCCGCAATGGCTCCAGGCCGTGCAGGTTAGGTATATTAGTTAAAAAAAATTAATTACATAAAATGAGTAAAATTTAAAAACAACTAATTTACCTAACCTGTGGAATAATCTGTATAGAACCACATACCTCAAGAATTATGAATTATTTTTGTATTTTATAATGTTTTTTTTTTTTTTTTAATAATTGTACCTATGTTAGAACCATTGTAATTAGATCAAATTTGCTTTAAATCAATTGTGTTTTAAATCAAATGTATTTTAAATCAAATGTACTTAGACCAAATGTATTTTTTAGACCAATTTTCCGGGAACCAAATTCTATAATCAAAAAATCAAATAATGGTAGGGGAATCAGTAACACTTTTAGATGTGACATTTTCTCTAAGGCAAAATTACATATTTTTCGTTTATTCTTACCTTATATAACATGGAAATACTTTGCTGCAGACGAAGCTCGATAATTGTGTCTTAAAAAGCCATTTTAGAAAATGTTAGTGTCCTATATTTGATTAGATAATTAACTTGACATAAGGCTTGATAGCTCAGGTCGTTAGCGCACTTAACTTTGGAAAAATAAATATAATGAGAAAAATAAAAAACCTAACCTTATCGCAGGTTGCTGTTCTCGATACTTTTAAACAATTCAACGGGACAGGGTCGGCGCTTGTTTTTGTATTTGAATTATTAATTGGAGTCCTATTAGAATAAATGAATGAATTATGTGGATTGATTCATCGGTTCGGCTTCCAGGGCTGGTCTAGTCCGATGAATTAATGTAATATGTTGGATGTATTTCCAACAATTACTTATTTTGTGCTACACTTAATCAGTAGTATTTTCGGGAATTGACTTCAGTTGTTTAAATACAGTTTTTCAAACCATTATAAGGTTTATTTGTATTCCATTTGTCTAATTTACTGTTATTAATCTGTCGATTTCCGATTTATTGTCTATTCCATATAATTAATTTTTGATCTATTGTCTTTTCGTTCACTTGTAATTTAAGCAAATGTATTTCGATAAAATGCCATCATAATTTAATAAGGTTGAGAATAGTACAATATAAATAGCTGAAAGATTAAGGGGATTGTCTAACAGTAGGGGTTATATTATGATGTAGTAGTCGACGCCGATGACACAAAAAAAATGTATTTAAGTGCAAACCTTTATTTTTAGTCCAATTGTCCAATTTTTATTAATTTTTTAGGAAATACCAGTAATAAACAAACTTAGGGTGGAAAAACCTTGATTTTTTGTAAATATTCATTTTTAAAAGTAATTAAAAAACATTTACTTGCCATTCTGTATTAAATTTATGAAAATTGACTGCTTTTTTGTTTTAATAAATATCTAGTAGTTGTTAAATGGTAGGGTTTCCCACCAATTTTTTCTTCAATTACTGTAGAATGCAACTTATCGTTGCACAAATTTAAAGCTCTCAATATTCTCGAGACACATAACATCTTAAAATAAACAGCAATGGTCGTATTTTTCTTTTCAAAATAAAAAAAATGCTCTCATCGGGAATTGAACCCTGTTCGCGAAATCCAAAGTTGGGTGCGTTAAGGCCTTTTTAAGACGTCATTGACCGCTATACCGCTGGTGCGTCTGCAGTGAAGTATTTCGCTCTATAAGATAAAAATGAACGAAAAATTTTAAAATTAGCTTTGCTCAAATATGGCTTTCTTACCATAAAGGAGATTTTTGATATTTAACGATTTTTTAAACGTTGAATACTAATAAAATAATAATAATAATATATTAAATAACAAATATTTTGTAAATGAAGAAGATTTTCAAAGTAGATTTTTGATAGTACTTAACTTTTGAAGCACCTACATTATTTAATGTTAATACTAATAAAATAATATTTTTTTTTAGCTTTGCAAGCAACCCGTTGGAGTCGTCAAACTGAAAGGAGACCACACGACAATATTATTAGGGGACAATACACAGAGAGTAGCCGATATTATAAACAAGTTTTTTGAAGTGTAGATTTTAATTTTTAAGCGAAATAAATGATTTTTATGAAAACATGTTTATATTATTAGAATCCATCTTTAGTTTATATTTTCAGATATTAAGAGTTTAATACAAATTATTGAAAATGTTCCAAAAAATTAAAAAAATTTAAAAATTAAAAAAATTAAAAAAATTAAAAAAATTAAAAATAAAAAAATAAAAAAATTAAAAAATTAAAAAATTAAAAAATTAAAAAATTAAAAAATTAAAAAATTAAAAAATTAAAAAATTAAAAAATTAAAAAATTAAAAAATTAAAAAATTAAAAAATTAAAAAATTAAAAAATTAAAAAATTAAAAAATTAAAAAATTAAAAAATTAAAAAATTAAAAAATTAAAAAATTAAAAAATTAAAAAATTAAAAAATTAAAAAATTAAAAAATTAAAAAATTAAAAAATTAAAAAATTAAAAAATTAAAAAATTAAAAAATTAAAAAATTAAAAAATTAAAAAATTAAAAAATTAAAAAATTAAAAAATTAAAAAATTAAAAAATTAAAAAATTAAAAAATTAAAAAATTAAAAAATTAAAAAATTAAAAAATTAAAAAATTAAAAAATTAAAAAATTAAAAAATTAAAAAATTAAAAAATTAAAAAATTAAAAAATTAAAAAATTAAAAAATTAAAAAATTAAAAAATTAAAAAATTAAAAAATTAAAAAATTAAAAAATTAAAAAATTAAAAAATTAAAAAATTAAAAAATTAAAAAATTAAAAAATTAAAAAATTAAAAAATTAAAAAATTAAAAAATTAAAAAATTAAAAAATTAAAAAATTAAAAAATTAAAAAATTAAAAAATTAAAAAATTAAAAAATTAAAAAATTAAAAAATTAAAAAATTAAAAAATTAAAAAATTAAAAAATTAAAAAATTAAAAAATTAAAAAATTAAAAAATTAAAAAATTAAAAAATTAAAAAATTAAAAAATTAAAAAATTAAAAAATTAAAAAATTAAAAAATTAAAAAATTAAAAAATTAAAAAATTAAAAAATTAAAAAATTAAAAAATTAAAAAATTAAAAAATTAAAAAATTAAAAAATTAAAAAATTAAAAAATTAAAAAATTAAAAAATTAAAAAATTAAAAAATTAAAAAATTAAAAAATTAAAAAATTAAAAAATTAAAAAATTAAAAAATTAAAAAATTAAAAAATTAAAAAATTAAAAAATTAAAAAATTAAAAAATTAAAAAATTAAAAAATTAAAAAATTAAAAAATTAAAAAATTAAAAAATTAAAAAATTAAAAAATTAAAAAATTAAAAAATTAAAAAATTAAAAAATTAAAAAATTAAAAAATTAAAAAATTAAAAAATTAAAAAATTAAAAAATTAAAAAATTAAAAAATTAAAAAATTAAAAAATTAAAAAATTAAAAAATTAAAAAATTAAAAAATTAAAAAATTAAAAAATTAAAAAATTAAAAAATTAAAAAATTAAAAAATTAAAAAATTAAAAAATTAAAAAATTAAAAAATTAAAAAATTAAAAAATTAAAAAATTAAAAAATTAAAAAATTAAAAAATTAAAAAATTAAAAAATTAAAAAATTAAAAAATTAAAAAATTAAAAAATTAAAAAATTAAAAAATTAAAAAATTAAAAAATTAAAAAATTAAAAAATTAAAAAATTAAAAAATTAAAAAATTAAAAAATTAAAAAATTAAAAAATTAAAAAATTAAAAAATTAAAAAATTAAAAAATTAAAAAATTAAAAAATTAAAAAATTAAAAAATTAAAAAATTAAAAAATTAAAAAATTTAAAAATTTAAAAATTTAAAAAATTTAAAAAATTTAAAAAATTAAAAAAATTAAAAAAATTAAAAAAATTAAAAAAATTAAATTAAAAAAATTAAAAAATTTAATAAAATTTAAAAAAATTAAAATATTTAAAAAATAAAAAAAATTCAAAAAATTAAAACAATTTAAAAAAATTAAAAATATAAAAATAAATAAAATTAAATTAAATTAAATTAAATTTAAAAATTTAAAAATAAAAAAGTTTTAAAAAATTAAAAAAACTAAAATAATTTAAAAATCAAAAAATGTTTTAAAAATTTAACAAATAAACAAAAATCCAAAAAACAAAAACCTAAAAAAAAAGAAAAAAAAGAAAAACAAAGAAAACCAAAGAAAAACAAAGAAAAACAGAAAAACAAAGAAAAACAAAGAAAAACAAAGAAAAACAAAGAAAAACAAAGAAAAACAAAGAAAAACAAAGAAAAACAAAGAAAAACAAAGAAAAACAAAGAAAAACAAAGAAAAACAAAGAAAAACAAAGAAAAACAAAGAAAAACAAAGAAAAACAAAGAAAAACAAAGAAAAACAAAGAAAAACAAAGAAAAACAAAGAAAAACAAAGAAAAACAAAGAAAAACAAAGAAAAACAAAGAAAAACAAAGAAAAACAAAGAAAAACAAAGAAAAACAAAGAAAAACAAAGAAAAACAAAGAAAAACAAAGAAAAACAAAGAAAAACAAAGAAAAACAAAGAAAAACAAAGAAAAACAAAGAAAAACAAAGAAAAACAAAGAAAAACAAAGAAAAACAAAGAAAAACAAAGAAAAACAAAGAAAAACAAAGAAAAACAAAGAAAAACAAAGAAAAACAAAGAAAAACAAAGAAAAACAAAGAAAAACAAAGAAAAACAAAAACAAAGAAAAACAAAGAAAAACAAAGAAAAACAAAGAAAAACAAAGAAAAACAAAGAAAAACAAAGAAAAAGATAGAAAAAATTTTTAAGCGAAATAAATTATTTTTATGGAAACATGTATTATTATAATCCATTTTTATTTTTATATTTTCAGATATTAAGAGTTCAATACAATTTATTGAAAATGTTCCAAAAAATATAAGAAAAAATAAAAAAATAAGAAATATAAGAAAAATAAAATAAAAACAAAAAACTAAAAAAAAAAACGAAATATATTAAAAAATTTAAGTTTTTGTATTTTTAGTTTACCTACTTGTTTATACTGATGGCTATAATTTTTTTCCATTGTAAAATAATAAATCATAATCCCCATGCACATCAAATTAAATACAAGCATTTTTAATTTAATGAGAGAAAAACTACATAAACTATAATTAATTTTGACTTTAGCACACTGACATAATAGCAATTGTTCAATTGTTATCAATACTATACCTACCCATTCTTATAGATCCCAGTCATTTTAGTTATAAGAAAAATTGGAATTATTATTATTTTCATCAGACATCATCGCGACAATGGTCATAATGGATTTAGGGGCCCCAAAATGTATAGATCCTTCGAAATAATAGTGATTTCTATAGGTACTTTCCTTACTGGATACAGGAAAGTAAAAATGGCCTATAATAAGGTAGTTCAGTACATATCTATTTAGAATTTACCAGTATATTTTTGTCTACTTTTTCTAAAACGAAGAATAAGCAACGCAACCTTGAACCTAATATGGCACGGGTAAGGTCATAATATGGAAATTTCTATAGAACATTATTTTTATTATTTCTAAATAACTGAATTTTAATATATAATTTTTTAACGAATGCAGACGCCAAGTCACCAAATTTTTTCATTAAAGAGTTGCAACTAAAACAAAAAAAAAATATTTTTTAAATATTTACATATTAGCATAAATATACACAAAATCTCTTAGTCAATATTAATTTTTTTCTAGGACTAACACGATCAATTTTCCCTACGACCTCATAGGAAAGTGACACATATCCTGCACTATTTTTAGTCTAATGGGAATCTACTTTCCGCCCAAGTATGAATATGAATCTACTTTCAGCATCAGCTGTCAAATATGCCAGACACAATTTCTAATTTGATATAAATATGTAATGTTTGTATTATTAGCAGGGCCGCCGAGAGCCCGGGACAATTTTTCAGGTGGAGCCCCGTAACAATTTTACATAAGAAAATTAAGCCCTTTTGATATGACATTTCTAAAAAAAAAACAAAAAACGTTCTCAAGCAAAAACTTAAGATCCTTTTTAGTGAAATCTTGAATTATTTTACATAAACCAGTGCTCCTCATTTTTGTAACGAACTTGTTCCCGAGCCCCAGGAATTTGTCCCGCCAGCCCCCCCTCGTTGGCCCTGATTAATAATAAAATCCATTTGACGAATAAATTAATAATAATTTTTATACTGTAATCCCAGGTATTTATTTTGAACAAATTATTAAAATAATTTAATAGTAAATATCTATATTACTATTTTTTTTAGTTAATACTAATATTTGATTAGTTAATTCACTTGACGTAAGCCTTCATGGCTAAGATCTTTAGGTGATCAACTTTATAATAATAATAATAATAATAAAAACGTCTTTATTATTTCCAATAAATACAATTAACATAATTAATGACAAAATATAGCAGATTGAAAATAAAGGGCGAAGTTTATTTTTGATTATGTTATTGGACACAATCAAAAATATTCTTCCACTCAACCCTAAAAATGTGTAATAGGTATATTGGTTTTGTTTTATAATTAGATAAGTATAATTTGCAATAAATTTTCAATAAAAAAAAATGATAGGACTGCAATGATAGGACTGCAAAGTGTAACATGGGCAGTATCAAGCTATATGTTGATATAAAAATAAAAAAAACTAATTATAAAATTGTTAACTTTATCACTGAGCGTCTAAGAGATTTTGTTTCATTTTTAATTTAAATTTTGAAATACTACAATTTTTTAATTCTGGTAAGACTTGGTTATATAAATAGCAAATTTGGTAACTATATGAACGCCTGAAAAACTCCGTGATGAAAGCAGGAACAGTCAACAATCCTTTGTTTCTTATATTTAAGTTATGAACATCAGAACGATAAGTTATTTTACGATGTAGATATGGTGGATGTTTACTCACTATTATTTTATGACACAAAGAGATAAAATGTAGTTTTCTCCTGTCCTCCATATTCAACCATCCAGCTTGACTTATTTTGTGAGATATTCTACAACGCCTTCTTATGCCAAAAATCATACGTAAACAAGAATTCTGAACTTTTTGTATTTTATTCTGATAGCTCACAGTTAAGTTCGGACCGTAAACGGCATCCGCATAATTGAATAGAGATAAAACTAATGTTTCACAGAGTTGTTTCTTTACAAAAATAGGAAACAAATGACGGTTTCCATAAATCATTTTAATATTACAATAAGCACGTTGTATTAACTTATTTATATGTCTCTCAAACCTTAAATCAGAATCGATTGTTACTCCCAAGTTTTTTGCTTCACTTACCAGTTCTAGTTTTTCATTATTGATTTCAATATTTATTGAATTCATTACATTTTGTTTATGATATTTACTACCGAATAACATTACTTTTGATTTTACTGGGTTAATAAGAAGACAGTGCTCAGTTGCACAATCAATAAATGATTTTAAATTATTATTAATAACATCACAAGCAGCCTCCACCTCATGGGGATCAAAACTGTGGTATAACTGAGTATCGTCAGCATATAAGTGAACATTGCAATTTTGGATTTTGTTTAAGAGGTGAGAAGAATATATCGAAAACAACAATGGACCAAGTATGGAGCCTTGCGGAACACCTGATCTTAATGTTAAATATTCTGAATTAATATTATTTATACGAACTTGTTGTTCCCTACATTTAAGATAATTTTCTATTAGAGAACACGCATTGTTTGAAAATCCCAAATATTTTAACATACAAATCAACAAATCATAGTGAATGGTGTCAAAAGCTCTACTGAAATCTAGCATAACTAAAACTGTGCATTTACTCCTATCAGTGGCTCGGAAGATGTCATCAATAATGTGGAGCAAAGCAGTAGTACAACTGAAACCCTTTCGAAAGCCAGACTGAACTATAGGAAGTAGTGCGGGAGTGCTCAGGTAATCTTTAATTTGTATTTCCAGAGTTCTTTCTAAAATTTTAGATAATGTAGGCAATATACTTATCACGGGTGGACTTCCCGATATTACTCACTTTAGGTACACAATTATCAAAAAATACTGTAAATTATCACTAGATTTATCTACTTTAAAACTAGGTATTACTGTCTAACACTAAATCAAGAATAGATATTCTGATCAGAATATGAAGACCATAAAAGCAAGAGATACTTAATCATAGATGAAATTGTTTTAGTCATATCTCCATCGTTTGTCTCATTTTTAAATCCCACAGTACTTTTACTTTTAAACGGATCTAAAAGCAATTATTTTGCAAAAAATACATGAAAAATAAGAAGTATAGATAAGAAAAAATTTCTTAGTATCCAAATAAGACAAACCTTGCGAGAAACGAATTTGCATAAGAACCGAGATTGACGTAACGCCGCCCACACTATCTTGTTATTAAAAAAAAAACAAATCTCGGAAAACAAAACGTGTATTGGATCAATAATTGTCAACTGGTGGGGTCAATTTTATATTCTTATGAAAAGATTTAGGAATCATTAGTCGTTAGTTAGTGATAACCTTCCCTGTGATATAGTCAACTGCCAAGATACTCGAGGTAATTAATTTATAGTTTGTTTTGACTGATACCTTGAAATATTTATTAATCGATTCAAGTTTGTAATTAATTTAATGCTTATTTTATTTAATATACAACTTTTTTTTAAATTATAATGATACAACTGCAAAAATTTGTGTAAAAAAATGGATTTCAAATCAACATCTTCAGCATTTCTCTACTGGATTTTTTTTTCATATCCACTTCAATTCCATGATATTTACCCTCGTATTAATTACTTTTGTTCGCATTTTTTGTACTTTTGGATAACGCCTGGTATTTAACAATTTTCTTGGTTACGGTAGTCTGATAATCAATATCAGATAATAAAAATTAATTTTTAAAAGCCAGATTTTGATGCACACAAAATTACCATTATTTAAGATATTGTGTTCTTTTTCAGTACTAATTTTTCCTTGTCCAACCACTGCTACTGCTTCCCTTAATATGTACTATTTTTGCTGCTTTTTCTTTCTCTTTCTCTTTAAACATGTTCCAACCACTATTGTCAGGGTGAATACATAAGAAATCAATTTTGTTATCGAAATGTTTTCTTCCTCCTCTTCTATACCTCCTACTTATTCTTCAGGATTTAAAGTATTATTATTAGCATTATCTTTTCTTTTTAATCTTCCAAGCAAATGTCTTCTGATAACAGTAATTGGCCAAGTATTCTCCTTTTACTTTTTCTAGGGACTTTTTCCAAATTGTTATGACGGAGTTAAATGTATTTTTAAAATATCTATAGCATAAATACATTTTTCTAGTTCCACTTGCTATAGGCACTGGATAAATTTCCTATGTGGTAATTCTTTCTTTTTCTTTAGATTTTCTTTTATATTATTATCTCCCTGATCATCTTTGGCGTCATTTACTTCATTGCGAGTTTTATCTTGCTCTTGTTGAAAAATTTTTAGAAAAAGTAGTCTATGAACAAATTGTTGATTTCATAGAAAGAAACAAATTTTTAACCAAATTTCAATCGGGTTTTCGCAGTAAGCATTCATGCGAAACTGCGGTACAATGTGTGCTGGATGATTTGAAAGGAAATCTTAATCAAAAACATGTTACTGTTGGTGTTTTTTTGGATCTTCAAAGGGCGTTTGAAACGGTAGATAGGAATAGACTCTTAAAGAAATTAGAAAGAGCAGGGTTTAGTGGTACAGTATTGGAGTGAATTTCAAACTATTTAACAAATAGAAGGCAAAAGGTCAAAATTAAAAACTTTGTATCTGAGGAGTTAGAAATAAAACGAGGTGTACCACAAGGAAGTGTCTTGGGTCCCTTATTTTTTTTGATTTATATCAATGACATTGCAGACATTCAGACTAAATGTTTATTTCACTTATTTGCAGATGACGCGTTCATTTATTATTCTTCTCTAAATATAATAGATACTGTTACAATAATTAATAAGTGCTTAGAAGTTGTTTATAGATGGTGTTGTGCTAATCTATTAAATATTAATTGTAAAAAAACCAAATTCATCATAATTGGCAATGAGCAGCAATATAAACTCTTTGTAGAACAAGATCATAAAATAATGATTGGGCCTTCCGAAATTGATATGGTAAATAAATACAAATATCTCGGAGTTATTATAGATCGACAACTTAAATTTAAACAGCACGCAAACCATTTAATAAAAACAATTTCATTTAAAATAAATTATCTTTACAGATGTTCACATCATTTATCTAAGTGGTCAAGGCTTGTTCTATTTAATTCTCTTATACTACCTCACTTCACTTACTGCTCAACAGCATTATATCTCTTAAATCAAAATGAGAGAAATCGGTTCCAAAAATTGCAGAATAGAGCTATGCGAATATTATTGTCATGTTCTAGATTGACCCCTATTGTAGAAATGCGGATATCTTTAAACTGGCTCTCAATTAAAGACATGTTCCTTTACCAGACATTAATTTTTATATATAAAATAAAAATAGGTTACGGGCCTGACTATTTCCAGCATAAAATTACGTATAACCATCATATTCACACCCATAATACAAGACTTAGAAATGATTTTTATATTAGGACCGTCAACACCAGTCATGCTCAAAATTCAATCTTTTTTAAAGGCTTACAGCAATTTAATGACTTGCCAGAAGATTTAAAGAAAATAGAATCAATTAATGAATTCAAATGTAAAATAAAACAATATTTGTTAGATGTAAGTAGCTAATTTAGTTATTGAAGTATTCATTATTAATATTAATATTTTATATGTGTTGTTTAATTGTATTTTATTTTATACGACTACAGTTATATTAATAACCTATTATACGTATACATTTACATTTATTTTTAGTGAGAAAATGTATTATTGACTATGTATTAGTTGTTTTTTGACTAAATAAAGCATATATATAATACGTCATTGTTGACTAACTCTTCTGGTTGATTAGATGTTTCTCCTTTTGTACTGCTTGGTTCCAGTAATCTATATGTAGTATGTGATCTCAGCTGGCTCAAAAAGCTTGTTTTGGAAAATATTTGGGTTGAACAGGCTATTGTCCGTGTTCAAAAATTTGATTGTAGCGTTTCTTATTGTTGCTACTGAACAATTCACCGATTTGATCCTGTGTGATTACTCGTCCTGGATGGTTTTTCAACCAGAATCTACATTCCAGATTATAAAAAGTCTTCAGTTTGCATGATTGTACAACACAATAATTCCATTGTTTTTGGCAAATATCAATGCTTTCAGTGTTTAATGACTAGTGTGCCCATCCAGAAATTATAAAACTTTTGATTCGAGAGATGCCTTAACAAAATTCAGGAAATGTTCCAACCACAAAACGAAGGTATCAGCTGTTATCTATCTAGTTTCGTGAAATAATCTCTAATACCGTGGAGGTGAAGCATCTAGAAGTACAACCCTTCTATTTTTCTTAGGGAAGATCAGAGCTGGCGCGGCAGCACGAAATTATCTATACCATACCATTCATGCAGCAAACACATGTTACATACTGATCTTTTTCGACGCTGGTTAACGATCCAACTTAGTTTTTTCCGATTTTTGCTAAAATTTTTGAAGACATTTGCATCAATTTTCTCCTTTTCCAGCGTCACTTCCAACGTATTAAAAATGTTTGTATTTGTTGCCTAATAAATGTCATAGCTCTAGCAGCAGGTACCGGTTGCCTTAGTGATCGGGATAGGGATGTTTCAATGAAAAAAATACACAATAAACGAACATCACTATTAAATTAATACACAATACATTTTGAAAGGAACAGTTTGATAATAAACCAGCTAGCATAAAAACATCCTATCTACGTTAATAAGTTGTAATTTAAGCTCGCATGCAATGTACTTTTAATGTAACCCTAATATCCATGCAACCGCCAAATGTCCGCAACGGCAAGACTTTTATAGCACATCTCATAGAGGTTACAAAGTAAAGTTCAGAAAACATCACACTAGCACTTTTACAGTACTTTCCCCGAAAGTTGCTCTGAAACCTTTTATAGATGTTATATTGTGAATTCATTCTACAGCATTAGACAGTGTGTCCACGGATGGAATTAACTATACCCAGACAGCACACCAAATCCTTTGGATATCTACTGGACATCCCAATATCCACTGAATGTCCAGTCCATGGTGGATATATATTTTATATCCATGAGATGTAATTTATAGACATGCAAATGTCCATAAATAATAGTAATTATATAGCAAATTATTAAAAAATTACGCCATTGTGCTCGCCATTGTGGCTAATAGTACCGTCCAAATATTTAAAATTATTTATTTAAGGTGTATTCAATATCCCATGGACATCCACTAAATATATCAAAGTTTAGGCGCGAACGCAAACCATGGTGTATATCCACTAGAAGTAATTTTTGATTTTGCCCACTAAGAAGAAAGTCATTCTTGGACCGGTTTTGTCCTTATTAGGACTAGAATTCTTTCCTTTTTTAAGAATAGCCCGCCTGGCTTTTATTCCACCTAGTCTCTGAACTAGGTACTACACCGATCTTTGATTTTGCTTACTAAGTATAGATGGTGATACCACTTTCGCTCGTTGATTATCTCCTCATGCTCAACCCGCCGTAATTGACTCCATTAGAGGCTGGAGTCGAAAATTTCTATTTATTGCTGAAGAGTTCTAATAAGGATGACTTTCTCCTTAGTGGGCAAAATCAAAGGCAGAGTATTGAAAATATTTTCTTTCGCTGCTATCTGCTGTTTTCTTTCGACGTAATTCATTAATCATTGGTTACTTATGAACCTCTACTAAAGATACCCATAAAATATTTTGCTGAATATCCATAGAATATCCTGGGATATAGACGGACAATTGGATATCCATATTAGATTCACTGGATATATTGGATATCCACAAAATATATTCTGTGGATATCTCTGGGATTTCTTGTATTGTCTGGGAGATACCCATTAGATATTTTGCTGGATATCTATAGGAAATCTTCTATATTCTGGATATAGACGGACATTTGGATATCCATATTAGATCCACGGGATATTTCTGATATCCTGTGGATATATTGGATATCCACAAAAGATACTCTGTGGATACCTCTGAGATTTGGTATGTTGTCTGGGTAGTTGTAAAAATATTTATTTTATGTTTAAAAAAAGTAATTCTTTATAATTTCTTTTGGTTGTTAAATAAATACGATTAAAGTTGAGAAATTATGAAACATAACTTCTTTTGGAAAATTTAAAATAACAATTTTTCCAAGTATAGTTAAGTCCACACACTATATGTAAAAAAAGTATATTGAGGATATAGTAAAAGTTCAATGAAACAAAATAAAAAATTGTATAAATTTATTATTAAAAAGTAAAAGTGGGTATTAATAATATAGAGGTATATTACAATGTAACGTAATTACACATGTGCGATACCGTAAGGTACTTATAAAACACTAAACAATTGTAAAAACGTAGGTGTAAAGGGTATATAAGCAATATCTCAAAGGTTCACTAGAATCTAAAACACAGAGATTGCACAAAAGAGT